AGCTTCTACAGACATTATGCAATGTTCATTTTAATATTTCTACCTACCTTTTGTATTATACACACTACAAACATTGATAGGGAGTTATTTTACCTCATTCCAACAAATATATTAAGTGAAAAATACATAAATTGACAACAAGTTCGAATTTACCTTTTAGGGGAGGATATAGAATTTTCTAGCCCAAAGACTTTATGAAGCTCATAACAATAGTAGGGAGATCCAGTGTTCAAAATATCTCTTCCTCAAGTTGTGAATTGCTTCCAGTAGGTTGCAGTCATTCAGAATTTCCCACTTTGTCACATCCCATTTTTGGGAGTTGTCACAGTCAATGTCCTGCCTTATCCTGAGTTTTTATTTGTTCATGCCCAGACTTGGTATATACAATCTACACCTCTTTAGCTATGTTTCATGCACCAGAGTTTAGTTCTTAAAATGTCTGGTTCTTGTGTTATAGCACCAACTTTGTCCAAAAAATCATGTGACATTACTTTTGATCAGTTAGTGTATTTCGGCACTATCAGCTGCCGAAAAGTTCAGTTTTAATATTTATTGAGTGCACATAATCTCTGGGATGTGACACAGTATTCCCAGAGGTATTTTGGCACTACCAGCTGCCAAAATATTCAGTTTTAATATTCATTGAGTGCACATAGTCTCACACAATATTCCCAGAAGTATTTCAGCACTACCAGCTGCCGAAAAGTTCGGTTTTAATATTTATTGAGTGCACATAGTCTCTGAGATGCAACACAATATTCCCAGAGGTATTTCGGCACTACCAGCTGCCGAAATCTTCAGTTTCACATGTATTAACTGCAACACAATATTCCCAGAAGTATTTCAGCACTACCAGCTGCCGAAAAGTTCAGTTTTAATATTTATTGAGTGCACATAGTCTCTGAGATGCAACACAATATTCCCAGAGGTATTTCGGCACTACCAGCTGCCGAAATCTTCAGTTTCACATGTATTAACTGCAACACAATATTCCTGAAAGTATTTCGGCACTGCCAGCTGCTGAAATCTTCGGTTTCACATGTATCAACTGCAACACAATATTCCCGAAGGTATTTTGGCACTACCAGCTGCCGAAATATTTGGTTTTAATATTTATTGAGTGCACATAGTCTCTGGGATGTAACACAATATTCCCAGAGGTATTTCGGCACTACCAGCTGCCGAAACTTTCGGTTTCACATGTATTAACTGCAACACAATATTTCCAGAAGTATTTCGGCACTACCAGCTGCTGAAAACTTCAGTTTTAACATTTATGTAATGCACATAGTCTCCAGGAGGCAAACCAATATTCCTGGAAGTATTTTACTGCTGGGCCACACCATGCCATCTTAACATCAACAGATCCATTAGGCCCACCTATATCCATTAATGTATACATATCATTGGCCCCATTGGGGTAGCTCTATGGTACATAGGACAATTGACCATGTGGAGTAAACTTAATCTATAGTGTACTCTATGAGTACTTGTGGCTGGCAATGGTTGACCAATCTCACCTACAAGAAACACATCAGAGATAACTATGTCTGAGTAGGGTGAGTCTATCAGTTGTTGAGAACCTAAGATAATTAGTTACCTGAAGAGTATTTGACGCCATTGTCCTTAGCTTGAGATTTAAATTTCGCCAAGAACCACTCAGCATTCTTCAAGCGAATGAGCTCATTCTCTAAATTCATCTTGTTCTCATTAGCCGTTACCTCCTTTCCAGAGCCTATTTCAAAGAATCGTTTCACCACATATAACTCGGAATCCAATGAGAGCAGCACTTTACACTCCCCAATATGTTCTATATGGAATAGGTGGATTCCACCTCCAATCCATGGATTCCATATGGACCATATTGGGGGCTATTCCAGGACCATTCCATGGGCTATTCCAGGACCAGTCCATGGGCTATTCCAGGATCATTCCATGGACTTTTAGATATCTTGATCAAAAAAGTCATGTGACTTCATGTCTATCAGACTTTATAATAATAACCTGACATTTAGATAAAATTCAAATATATTCAAGTGATAACATCTAAATAATTTTACAATTTTCTATGTTAAAGTTAAAGGCAGGAGGGAGGAAAGAAGGAAGGGGGGAAGGAGGAAGGGGGGAAGGACAAGGAAGGGGGAGGGAGTGGTGGATGGGAGAGATAGTGGTGGGGAGGGAATGGTAGGGGGTAGAGAGAGTGGTGGGGAGGGAAGGACATCCCATGTTGATGTCCCATCATCGTTGCCTGTCAGTGTTGCCTCCCTCTCCGCATGCTGCCTCCCTCTTTGTGTTTTGCCTGCTCTACGTGTTTTCACATTGTTTGTGGGTGCTGGGGTATGCTTGTGGGTGGGGTGGTGTTGTGGTGGGCGCTGGGACGTGTTCACGGGCAGGGTGTGATGTGGGCGTCGTTTTGTGGGTGCTGGCAGTATACATGGGTGCTGGGAGTCATTGCATGGGTGCTGGGGGTGTACGTGGGTGCAGGGAGTCATTTCGTGGTTGCTGGGGGTTTATGTGGGTGCTGGTGGTGTTCCTGGGCTGTGAAACCTGCTGTTTGTTGGACTTCTTGAGGAGTCCACCGTTGCGAAACCTTGGAGGTGAGCCAACGTGGTAGGGCCCTGGTCCCAATAAACATCTTCGGTATATGAATGTCTAGAATGGGAACAGAGTTATAAGGCATGATGGCGACTCAGATTAGACTGCGTGGCACATATGTATGGCACTGTGGGTGTATGAGACACATTCTCCCCTTTCTATCAGGTGCACCTTATTAAAGGAGGTGAGCCAGGAAGGACAGATGAAGCGACACTTTACACATACCTTGGAGGTCGCAAAGAAGGATGTCATGACTTGAATACACCAGGGAAAAGTGGGCAAAGGCATGAATCGCTTTTGTGAGATGATCGTCGGCAGTGCCAATTGTTCCATTTCCAGTAAATTTCTGTACTGTGGCATCATGAGGTCTGCAAGGCAAAAGGGGTGTTGCAAGAAAGTATTTGTGTGGAAGTGGGCAACTGCCCGATGCAGGAGTGGGTATGACCTTCCCAAAAATAGACGCTTCAAAGTTGAAATAGAATTCTAATGACATTCTCGGCATTAGATGGGTGGCATTGAAGTGAGAATAGACATACCGGGGATGGTGGTTACTCCAGAAGAACATGCAAGCCCATCAAATGCATTTTTGAATGCATTGCAGAGGCAAAGTAGCCAGTACTCAGCCTTAAGCACTTTTTTTACCTCCTCGTCGCTCATATTGATGTCAAGTGGATAGGTGACAATGTACTCTCGGCCATCGAATCAGGCCTGCATTCATGTCAAAAGTAAGTGAAAATCCAATCGAAATAATAATCGACGGCTCACATATATACTGCACTTGGTGGACCCTACCCCAATGAACCCTGCTTGGCCAACGCTTTCAGATTGTGATGGAGGGGAAACCTCAATAACTTCCCACTTCGTGAATTCCTTGGTGGTGACCTGACTGGTACCGTCGAGGTCGAAGTGTGCTGTTATCCACTGGAAGTTACATATGTCCAAGGCAAGGTTACGAGTCCAGGTCGTGATAGGTTTGTTAGCCGGCCTGTATGCGCTCTTAAGAATGTTAGATTGCCACTGAATGGAAGATGACTGGGGGCCAGCGGCGACACTAGAAGATTGTTGGAGGCGACCACAGGATGGCAGCTGCACAACTGAATGCCGCTTCAAGGAATTTGCAGGCTGACGGCTTGAGTATTTTCTTTTGGAACCAACAAAAACAGGGTCAAGGTCATCATCGTCGTCTTCACTGATCTTCAACACAAAACAAAAATGGATAAGTCTTGAGCCATTGCAAACCAAAGAGATGATTTCCATACAATATCATCTTGGTGGAATATGAAGTGAATATCAATGAATTGGTTCTTCAACTGCTGCGCTGTGCCTAATTTCTTTCACACAAATTCCTCCCTGAAAAGAATTGACACTGAACTGTCACAGTCAAAGTGCATCAATGAGGAATACTTTGCACGATTTTCGTGTGCATGGCATGTAATATTTGACCTACAAAGCATGAAAAAATGTGATTAGGTTGAAAGAACGGCAAAACTGTCAGGATATAGTGATCACCAGGTCAACTCCTTCGCCTCAGGTCTGCTTTTCTGGAATATCACCTTAATTTCCCCAAGCAACTGGTCAAATGCCTCACAGGTCGAAGTAGTGGGTTCAAAGACATGGACAACCCGTATTGTCTTGATCTATCACACAAAGTAATTAACACATATGCCCTTGAATTTTGAAAGCAGGAAACGTACCTCGGTAAGTTGATTGGATGAACCTTCCACCATCCAAAGCACTGCTGAAATTCGAATTCCATTGTCTAGGAGTTTCACCTCTTCTTGCTTCGCCTTCCGCAGCTCGACAGCTTGATTGGCCTTGCCAAGGTTCTTGAATTTGTTTAGTCCCCGAGGCTGGGCTACACCCCCAACTGTACGAATACTGTTGTTCAGTCTGGGCTCCGATGCCTGGGAATGGTAGGACGATGCAAGGTGGAGAATGGATGTCGCCAGAGCGGCTGAACTTAAACCATCTGAAGTCCCAGGCTCAATGCGATGGGCAGTGGTTTTCTCACTGCCAAATAAGATTGCCACTATCCCAAGGGGGCCCCGGGATTTGAATGCCGAGCTGGGGGTTAGGGGGGGAGGAGGGAGGTCTTCGACGGCTTAAAAAAATTTACTAAGGGTAGATGAAATTTCTATTTTTAGCACCCCTTGGTAACGGGCTGAAGTGACGGGCTGATGTGCCGAGCTTGTTGAGACTGATGTTGAGCTTCATTTGAAGACCTCAGTACACTGTATTAGTCAAAAAAAATGGAATCTACTGTTCATCTTGCTGCAATACTGTGATGGCAAAGGCAAAGGTATGGATATCTATTGCTGAACATTGAAACTAATGGACTAGACAACTTGTAAAGGATAAGATAAAATATGATATCGACACAACCACACACTGTACCGAGTGTGGTGAAGATATCAACGTAGGGACTGTGGCGCCCCGTCGATGGGGAAGACAACAAAGAATTGTCACCAGAAACGTACCAAGAAGACACTCCATCAGGAAGCACTCACGCTGATAGTGGTATGTGTTCTACTTACATGGCAAGGACCTTGCTTAACTTCTCCAATTTAGCTTCAAAAGCGAATGAATCGTTGGCAATAAATCAAACACATTTCACAATGGAGGCTCTGTCTTGTCGACTCGGAGGACACACTTGTCGAACTTGCGACATCATGGCAGAAATGTTCATCTGTATCTGTGGATCTCGAGTTGAAGAACAGGAGTGAGTTATGGGCTCTCAAACTGCCTTACGTTGTGGATATGAAGGCTGTGAAACATCTTGGGTAGGTATTGCATTTCTCTGCATGCTCTTGGTGTACTGACATCTATGTTCTCTCAAACAGTTTCACTTGGCCTGCTTCAACTTCACCTGCGCCCCCAAAAACTGGCGTTGCGAGAATGATGTGCATTCCAAAAAGCGGCGCAAATAAGGTAACTTTGTTTTCTTAATATTTTGTACCTTGCCCGCTTCTTGTAAATGAAAAATACGATTTGTTTTTCTTGGAATTGCCTTTTTCGGTCCAACATATCCCTTTTAGGCAGGAGGGGAGGGGGGGAGGTCACCTATGGTGGCTTAAAAAGATTTACCGACCCCGTGATAATTTTAAGGTCCTTGGGCCCCCTTGCGCTATCCCAGGCTTCGTTAAGATTGGTGTCAGAACATCTTTTGCATTTTCTGAAAACAAAATTTCCAGTTGCGAATCATACACTGGCAGTACTAAAATATGTTGCTCACGATAATGCCTTATACATCTGTTGCACAATGGCTTTTGCAGGCTGGTAGAGATAATACCACACACAAAACATTGCGGTGTATCCTATCACGTACTCAATAATGGAAGGTACACAGCTATTTGCCAAGTGTAACTGAACTTATGTTGATTAGCCGCAGCTCGATTGAAGATAAGCCAGGTGCCTTGGCACGACATTTTCCACACATTGACCCTTCATCGAGATGAAAAAATTCAAAGCTACAAGTAGGACACTGGAGCATTGTGGATGGGGAAATATGAAGAATGGGAAGACGTCGAAAATTTTCATGCTTCGCAGACCTGAACCATGGGGAGACCTGAACCATTGCTTAAAACGTAGAGTACGACAAAGTAAACTAAGTTGCAAGTGCTGGACAACTAAGCCGACTCTGGTGCTGGAGGAAAGACAAGGGGGAGCAGTGCTTGAAATACCTCCCACACATTCTCAAATGATAACTCAGAGATGGCAAGGGATTCATAGGCTGCATCACATCTCACAGCGAAATTTGGCGAAACAAACTCAAGGAGTTGATCACCACCCATTTCCTCCTTGAGCTTGTGGATAATAGACATATCAGGGATCCGAAGGAGGCAATCAGTCAAGCCATATTTTTCGTGGAGGCTAAACGCCTCGTTCCGAGAACATCCGGATGGGCCAGCCTTTTTGTTATCTCACCACATATGAACTCCATTATGAAATTCAACAAATTTGTCGAGTTCCTGACAGAGGAGCTTGGGCCACGGGTATTGGCAAAGCTCGCTAAAGGCCGAGATAAAAACCATTAGCAGTCATTACCAGTTTTACATGGAAAGAAACTCACTACTGCTCCCCATTGTCGGGGTTATACTTTCCATGCCCCAGTCGAGACAAAGACGGAGCCAGGACCACTCAATGGCGATGTTGTGCACACTGTGTACATAGGAATGGGCGGGGAGTATTTCTCCATCGTATTCTGGGAAGAGAGTTGACCTATGCAGGCCAAATTAAAAAATAATTGGGGAATGAATAATGAGAGTACCTTAATGCATTGACGAGTCCATAAAGTTGGGTCATCTCTGACCCACAATCCATTGCAAACTGGAGTGGCATGCCTGACATTAACCAAACCTGATGAGCTGTATGAAATAACGAGGGGGAAATGGATGTCACATACCTCCAAACTTCTCGATGAGACACAAGCAGAGATAACCAACAATGTCTCCCAGTCTGTTACTGGGGACAACCCAGGCACCCAACCATTTTGAAGTAGCTTCGTCTACGACTGCCCAAATAGGGAACCCAATGGAGTACAGCTTGTCATGTCCATCTCCTGACCAGCACTTGTGGATGCCTATGTTGCATTTGACAACTCGAAGGATGTGTTTTGAAGTTGGATCGCGCATTCTGAAACCCTCTTCATCGTGAGTGTGCATGATGTCAGAGACAAAGTCCCGGGAGAGGGTAACACCACAGTTGAAGGTGATCTTCGCTTGGATGTTCTGGACACCCCTTGACCTGGCATGATCACGGTCAAGCTCGTCAACAACGAGCTGGACCATTTCTTGATATGGCATGGTACGCATAGTGACTCGGGGACTATGAAAACCAAGCGCTTTGTGTCGCCGTTTGACGGCCGAACTCCTGGAATAAATCAGGCACCAATCAATCCACAATTCGGAATGAAGTAAATAAATGAACTCACGCAATGGCAGGGCCATGCTCCTTGAGCAATAGCGCCGAGATCTTCTCATTGCTGAAAAGCCGTTGTCGATGGTAGGATTCCAGTGCTTGTCGGATGCGAGGCTCATCTTCCTCAGCTAAGGAATATGATTAGCATGAACGGAGGAAAGTGCAGTTAAATTCTTACAAGGTTTGTGGTGTGAGTGCTGATTGTGGCCAGCAGGGTTACAATTATATGATTAGGTGGACATGATTTGGCGTCGACGAGATGCTGGGGGGATTGAGAATGTTGAAACCTTGGATGCCAGAGTTTTATATGCAAACGTCAGGTGGGAATTAGCATGGCTGGACTGACTTTATCGAACGATTCTCGAGTAGTATTCCTTCATATTGTCAGGTGGCTAAAGCCCGGCAGTTGAAGGCATAGGCAATGACAGGAATGTGGATGAACCTGAGAAGCAGCCAAGAATGTATCATCTTCGTAAATTCTTAAGTAGTATCTCTTCATATCGTACAGGTGGCTAAAGCCTGGCAGTCGAAGGCGTAGGGAATGAGAGGAATGTGGATGAACCTGAGAATCAAGTGAGAATGTACCATCTTCGTGAATTCTTGAGTAGTATCTCTTACAGGTGGCTAAAGCCTGGCAGTCGAAGGCGTAGGGAATGAGAGGGATGTGGATGAAGCTGAGAATCAACTGAGAATGTACCCTCTCCATGAACTTGAGGATAAAGAAGTTTGACTCACAACCTCTTCAGGTGGTCACGTATGTAGGCCAAAGGCAACCACCAGAATCGCATCTTTGTTTGCCTTCGATCCAGAGTCACTCTGGGTCCACTGATACCAGTGGCGCTCTCGATGTATGCCATAATGGGGCTTGTCCCAATGAGTGCACCAATGCTGATGGAGAAGGCATCCATGCGGTGGAGTTCTCAAAGTTGAGTCTCACAGGACCGCACAGTCCTGCGAACTTGGCCATGGCATACTCGGAGGGCACATTTGAAAAAGGTGATGCAAGCAACTTAGAAAGAGGTAGAGATGGTCCTAACCCACAAGTCCTAGTACTCTCTTGTGTTGAACACAGTGAGAAGAAGTAACGGAAAATGCCAGGCTGCCAGTTCATGGAGGTGGTGCCAAACAGCGTACTTATTGCAGTGGTTTGTCGTCCTCATGGTTTGTCTCCATGAGAAACATCAAAACACCACTTCAAAACAATAATATGCTACCAACATAAGGAGAAAACATAAATATTAAACATGTACATATGTCTGTGTCACGGTACATACACATATTGCAAACAGGTATTCTAAGATAGGCATATGTAGAGTTATAAAATAGGACTACAGCGTACCTCTGAAATAAAAGATTGAACAGCGCAATCAGGAGGTTGTAGGAATTTATGTGCTGACCTGGGATCGAACATAGGGCTTGAGGAATCAGGCGCACCACACGTTATACACAGAAGGCAGCCCATTCCACCACAGCAGCTTTGCATTATACTACGCCATTTTGCAGTACATACTATCATAAAACAGGCTTATAGTAAGAAACTGATTTTCTCCAGAGTCGTTTGGCAGTTGTATCGTGTGGAGAGGTACATCCATTCTACCGGCTTATGATTACATCAATTCGGGACACAAACATCACTGGCTTTTGTGTCCCAGAGCATGGGAGCTAGTGGTCACACGAGGTTCTGCAGAGGTGTATTTTATAAGATAGTACATGTCTACAGGAGCAGTGTTCGGCCCGCATAAACACGGTCCCAGATAACGACAGCAGACCAATCTTGGTGCAACAGGCTCACGGAGACCAGAACTCAAGTTTGACGGAATGTTTATACAACATAACTTATGTGGGCCGATTTAACGGGATCTCCCAGATCCCTACCGCTTTTGGAAGGTGCACGTGACCACATGACCTGGCGCATTGTGTCCTTTCTTCCTCCTTTCCTCCTCCCCCGCCGCTTTGTCCCACCGCTTTGTCCCCTCCCGAAATTTTGCTCGTAGTACACTATTTGTATTTATTACATGTCAAAATACAATTTTTTTCTCAGTTCCGGCTTTCCCCTGGGCAAACAAGCAGCCTTATCCAAAATGGACCTCATGGTGTGTCCTTGATTGGAGCCTGGGTGCTGTTGAATTCTTGGGAAAAATACAAAACTTGTAGAATACCATGAATGCACCTGCTGCTACATGTTCACCGCTTTTTTTGCTCTTCAGAGAGATATTTGGAAGGTGGTTTGCTGCAAGAGACTGAAAATAAGTCAGAAAAGCACACATAAGTCGACATAAGTGCTTATGTGTGATAGATTTAGCTTAAATCAAGTTCAATTTAGTGGGTTTAATGCCCTGTGATGCTAACCAGCTCAATTTAAGGTGCATTTCCAATGAGCTGGCCTATCAGGGCCTACCCCCTGCACCCGATTTAAGGGTCTTTCGGCTCAGGGACCTAACCCTCTGCTATATCACATTGGCTGTATGTTTTTGTTCCGTCATTTTGGCCTTAAATTCATGTAATGCCCATGATATTGCAGGTAATAATATTTACATGAGATGTAGTATACTAGGGGGCAAAAAAAGAAGTTTTAAAACTAAACCTGGCCTTCCATTTCCCAAGATTGACAAGGTCTTCGAGAGGAGAGCGCGGGAGTCCCAAATGTCACATTGGGTGTTGGGTGAGGCATGGCAGAGTCGGCACAGTGGTGTTGAACTTCAAGCAACGTCACGATGAACTTGAATGGTGACTGTTGATGGGACAAACACAGAAAAGCAGGGTAATGATGGGTGTGGAGAGAGAGTGGGTGATGGTAGCCTAGGTGGCAATGAAAACACTGTTGTGCGCCCAGACAGTCAAGACCATTGAAAGTACATGATATCAGTGAAGGCATTGTATCATGCAGACATACCTTGTAGAACCCCGCCTCACAACCCTTCTCCTATGTTCCAGCTAATCCCCACTGCCCGATGTGTGTTGCGGCGCGTCGTTTCACATTACAACATCATGTTCAAGCGCTTGGAGGTGAGAACGTGATGGGAGCCAAGATCCGCGTGGCGTAGTGTCGAGTGCATGGCATAGTGTCGATCACGTCGTGTAATGTTGAGCATGTCGAGTAATGCATAATGTCAAGCGCGTCGCGTAGTGTCAAGTGCGTCGCGTAGTGTCAAGTGCGTCGCATAGTGTCAAGCGCGTGGTGTAGTGTTGAGCGCGTCGCGTAGTGTCGAGTGTGTGGCCTGGTGTTGAGTGTGTTGCCTAGAAGGGTTGGCCACAGCAAAGAGGGGGTCAAGAGAGATGGAGGCGAGAGGAAAGGGATGGAAGTCAGGGTAGAAGGGCTTTGGAAGGGCTAGAGGAAAGTGATTTTCTCACGGAAAACGGAATCCGCTGATGGGCGCAATTTATTGAATTTTTTAACATTCAGTACCTTAAATCAAGTGAAATAATTGTACTTATGTGTGTACATTGGGAGGACCCCTGAAAGTAGTGTTGGATCCCTGATCCCAAAATCGTCAAATTTGACGATTTTCCTCCAGACAGAATTTCCCGATATTTCCCAAAAATCCTCCGGATATGGCATCAGGCATAGGATTTTCCTAAATTATATCCAGACATTACATCAGGCATAGTATATGTGTGTAGGCAAGGCTCCTGCCGCCCAAAGGCCTTAAATTCCAATGTAAGACTGTAATATCTAATCTTCCTCGTCATCTGTCCCCATTTCAGCGTTGTTACCGCCCTTTTTCTTCCTCCCGCTCAATGCTTGAACTGCCAAGCTTTCTGGAGGTTTGAATACTAATGCATGTGTACCCTTGAACAAAGATTTCACAAGAAGCTCCTTGACGGTGATGTTGTCATCAGGTAGAAGCGAGTGTGCCCAAATCTTAGGTATGTCCAAATGGCTGTCGCGATAGACAACCAGCTCTTGAGGTGGATCCAATATGGGATATACTTTTCCTTTGCCAATCCATTCCAACTCGTCCAGGGGTGCCGGATTGTCAAGATCAATGAACACCTGACTGGTTGTGTTCATCATATCTTCGTTCGTGTATGTTGGATTGAAGTAATACGCCTTTTCAATTCCATCATGTGTTAATTAAAGTTGAACCAGGGTGCACTGCACATGCGCTCAAAAATGTGGGGACTACACTCATTTTGTCCATTTTCTATCCGGACGTAGATCAGGCCCCCCATAGCTTAGGGGATTTTTACCCGGACATTCAACTCATGGATTTTCCAAAATTTCTTCAATTTTCCTCCGGACAGGCCTGAGGCCTGCCCGGATTTTTTCCAAATTTTCCTCCGGATATGGATCAGGGATTTGACATGAATTTCAGGGGTCCTACATTGGGTGACTTCCCGTAACATAAATTTGCTAGATTTAAATAAATCGATGAGATCTAGGGTCTTTTGCCGGGATGCCGAGTCTTGTAAGGGTTCGACTTTGATGGAGGCCCTGGTTGGCACCCAGTTATAAACCTTAATCTATTCAGAGGGTACAGACCCCTCGAATAGATTTCAAACACTGGAATCAACCCTGCCATCATGACACCTTTCCTTCCTGGGTACGTTTTCTTCCCACCTAGCTTAGTCAGCTCTACCTCATCCTCTCTACTCTCCTACGGCTGAGGGCAGTCTGCTCTCTCATTATAATTTGAAGCCATTACAGAGTTTATTAGTAGTGCCAACGTCCTCTGGTTCCAAAATTTCCTCTCCGAAGCTGTTTTTCCTTCCACAAACAATCTTCTCAGCACATAACTCACAGAACCACAGCATGTTCAGCTCAAGTTGACATTTCCTCAGCTTCATTCATTGTGTGTCCTACTTTCTGGCTGATATGATTGAGCATTAACTATAATACACCCATCCATGGGCCTGTGTGTCCTCAAAACAGCTCATATGAGAGTAGTGATGTGCCAGGCCCGGCCCAAAGCCGTAAGCCAGCCAGAGCCAGCTGTCCCAAAGCCGGGCCTTCTTGGGCCGTCGTCAAGGCCCAGGAAAGCCCAAGGCTCAGGCTCACAATGCATGAAGCCTTGAGCCGTGGCCTGAGCCATGGCCTCAAAGATTGGTGGGACCTTGCTTTGGAGGGGTACGGTTGGTATGATTAAGTAGTTGAAATTTGAATAGAATGCCAGCACGGAAAGGCGGTAACTCACAAGTAACTCACTGTCCAAAATTTTCCCATCGCGCAACATACTCTGGTACATTCTCGGCTGCGTCTTGCAATAAAAACCAGTAGTTGCGGCCAAACATCGGTTTCAAGTCCTGATTTTCAAACCGAATTCTGTATACCAATGACGTTCCTGTCAAGCATACAACGCGCCTTTGGACAGTCTCAAAAGTGTGGTGCATGCAAAATTGCATTGAGACGATGTCAAATGGTTGCCCGAGTTTTTCAGGGGAAAACGCGAGGCCTGGTGTAACAACCCAGTGCAGCAAAACTAGCTCCGAACCACGAACCATGCATTGGCTCCCAACGTCAACATGCTTGATCCTCCGACACCGCTGCGATATCTGAGCACACGAATCCATTAACTCCCTATTTCCAAAATGAAAGAAAAACGCACCAACTCCAAGCAACTCCCTCACTTGCACCTTTGCCCACTTCGTCATATTCCCGTGACACCCCATATCCAGCACCTTGCCATGCTGAAACCTATAAGTTAAGTTAAGGGAGGTATGACGTGTGAGGTGAACTGTACGGTGCATGGTCAGGAGCTTCAAAGAAAGTGATAGAGGAGACATACCGTAAACTCCAAAGAACTTGCGATAAGTTTTCGACTAATTGATTGTTTGTGCATATTTTTCGACTTTAGCACCTGAACCGTGGCTTGAGCCTGGGCCGGGCCTGAGCCAGCCTGAAGCCTTGCAAAAAGCTCAGGCTTGAATATAGTCAAGCCTGAGCCGCTGAAAGCCGGGCCATAGCCGTGGCTTTCGGGCCAAGCCGGGCCTGCACATCACTAGATGAGAGGGAAGTAAGTTTATTCATGTCAGGTGAATAAATCTAATCAGTTGGCGTTACGGTTTATTTGCTTGATTAAATCGCAAGCCAGGGTACCCATTTCAAACTCCGATAAGGGTCAGATTTATTCGTTTATATAGATTTATGTTACGGGAAGTCACCCATTACTATGTTTGCCCACGATATTGAAACTCGTCGGGATATTGAAAATGCGGATTATCTTTGCATCCACTTACTCTGAGGTTCTCAAATTCTGGAGACCAGTGTATTTGTGTATTCTCTCTGTAACTTTAAATTTTTAGAGATGCATTCAAAGAATTGCATTCTTAAGGCATGGATTTGTGGTTTTCATTACACCAGCCAAACAAAAGTATTGGAATGTTCTCTCAGATCCCTCCAGATCGGCTTGATTGTTTATTCTGACACTTTCCAATTACATTAAAATGATATGTGAGAGTTCAAATACAAATTTCTAGAGAGAAAGATGAAGTGCTGTTGGGCGGGAGTGCAAAATACAAAATTTCGCTCGCAAACGGCGTTAAAGCGTGACATTTGCGTGACATACGCACGCCAAACTGTCATCATCGTCCAGCCAAAGTCCTTGTGATCTGGTGTGACAACAGTTTCAATATCCTGATATTTTTGAACCCTGAGTACCGGATCGCCTCCGACAGCGAACATAACACATCTACAGTAAAAAAAAAGTCGATATTTGTATAGAAGACAAAAATGTACATCGAGTGGTCAAAAAATTGAAAGGATGGGACAAAGTGGTGAGCCAACAATCGTGCAACACTGAAAAAGTTTCAATATCCTGAACAAACATAGTACCCTTCAAGTTCATTGCGGCTTCTGAACTTCTGTCACACTCTTACAGAAGCGGTGTCAAGTCCCCCATACACCCCTCAGAATTCGAGAATTCCTGTCAAACTCAGACCTGAACCCAGGCGCCAACCGTACTCCACCAATTGTCAACAGGTGATCAAATTTTCAATGCCCATCATTGCATTAGACATTAAGCCTGCGGTTTTTCCTTCTGTATCTTCGTTGCGCATCTCCCCTTCATCAATGACAACCGTCCGCAAATCCCTCCCAACACTCCGAACATCCTACCGCCGTACACTCCAAACAGTCTCCGGATTCAGAGTCCGCATGCCCACCGTCTTCGTCCCTTACGTTCTCCTCCCAGAAACTCAAGGAACCCACGCACAACTCGACGATGCAGAAAAAGAACGCGAGCGGAGAGAAGCAGGTAGTGCTGAGCGGACGGTGGTCCTTTGTGTGGAGATTGAGAACTCTGGCGAGTCGGGTATTGGCGCTGGCTTCGTGGTTGAAAAGGTGGATGTGAAGATTGGTGGGGAAGGTGCGAAGGCGACGCTTATTGGCTGGGGAGATGGTGGGTTTAGTTCGGATGCGGCGAAGAAAACGTTCCCTCTGCGGATTGGACCTCTGGCACAGTATAACTTGCTCTATGCCGTTTCGTTCTTGCGATCTCCGGAGGAGATGGACGCGTTTTCGTTCGCAAGAGCAGCTGGTGTGGGTGGGCCTCCTCAATCTGACCTCCAACACGCAGTCACCATCAACATCTTTGGAAAACCCCACGTTCCACCTCGCCCATCCACCTATACATCTCCCTTACTATACCCTACCAACACATCCTCCTCACGATGGAACTACGTTCTCGACCTCGAAGCACACCAAGCCCAAGCCCTGGACGCCATGGACGTCTCAGACCCCGCAGGAGGACACCTCTTCTTCCTGAATGTTTGAACGTTGAACCTGCATCCCCCTTTCCCGTATTCGAAACGAACTCTACTCCCCCCCCTCCCGCACGCATTACACCCCTGGCACTCCAACACACAGCTGGATCGACACCTCTAGCAGCAGTCTATCTAAACTCCCGGTAGATCAATGAAAGGCCTAACACCCAATCGATCAGCCATGTTCCTCCACCTAGGATTCGCTCTATCCCCTCCGAACTATGGGAGACGCTCTACATTCTCTGTGCCCGTCTCCAGCGGTGGCCACAAATCCCCGACGACTTTCAGCGCCCCTCCACCGCCTCCACCACCACATACACCTGCAATCCCACTTTCATCCGCAGGAACGCAAGCAAAAAAGCATCTAGGACCCCCATTCGACGCCCAAACAACACCTCAGACACCAGGATACCCTGCATTCCCGCCTAAATCCACCATACCCCGCCCCCCATGTCCCTTGGCCCCATCGCCTCGTAGACACAAGCAAACGTCGGCCCAAGCGTCGAGATTTGCAGCGAGAGGGGTGCAGCGGGCGCGATACCCCGTACGCCTGGGCCATACGTCCTCAGTGCATTTGGTGAACAGCAGAGGATGTTGAATAAACTGCAGGTCGCTGCGTCGGGTGGGAACAATATCGTTGTTTCTGTTGGTTCGCTCCCGTTGGAACTTGGAGAGAATGGGCATGAGGAGGGGAAGAGTTGTTGGCTCTGCGTTGGGGCCGTGGAAGATATACCCTTCACATTGGATATTTTCGTGTCTAATCAGAATGGCCGAGGAGGTTGGAGGTGACGCGTCCTGGGGAGAGAAGATGGGGGAAGGAGAGGAGAGGAGGAGGAAAGATGGGCGGTGAATTGGTATCTTGGGGTTTTGGCTATGGATACTCAGGTATGGTTTGGGTAAGTGGTTTGGTGAAAGAATAAGGAGAAATGTTGATCTTTCTGGATGTGCAGCCCACTTCGGCCCTCGTCATGCCAGAGTTTGAGGATGGACTTTTTGGCTCACCTGGCGTACCCTCGATTGATACACTAACCTGACGGACGTGGAGACTGGCTTTGCAATGAACCTGAAGTAAGTTTTCGAGATTGAAAGTTATATATCACACTGCTGATGAATGGTTTGTGAGTAGGATGGTGATGGATATTGTCGTGCATGACAGGGACAGAATCAATGCTCTGTACTTGTTATAGCGTCGGGTTCTGTAGACGCGACAGTGAAGATCTGAGTTGGAGAGTACGTTGAAGAGCCATACGAAGGCGATTCAGATTGTCAGTTTGATTCGACGGGGAGAGTTTTGGGTGAGTGTTTTATGCAGTACTGGAGAGTGGTCATGTGGGCTAAGGGAGTGGATATAGCGACGTGTTCGGACAATCTGTTTATAAAACTGTGGAATGTCCGTGATGACTATAAGAATTTCGCACGAACATTTCATCTCGAGCGTTCCCCTCTTACCAGACGACAATCAGGTCGTTTCGTACAGTCGAGATCATACACTCAGGATGTGGGATGTCCGAACAAGGTGTGTTTTGCCCCAATCCCTCTTTTCCTAATTGACCTCCTCAACGAAGTCATTGTGTAAAAGTCATACGACCACACGAAGAATGGATCCGGTCTGCCATTCCCAGTCCGGATGGTCGGCTTCTCTTAACATGCTGAGACAACCACGTACGCATTTCGTTTTTAGATAAACACTCTTCATTCCTTACCTTCTTTTGCCTTCTTTTAGACGGCACGAATCACAAATTTAGAGTCACCCGCACTAAGGGCGGAGATGCGAGGTCACGACAACCGTATCAAAGGCGCCGTATTCGTACCTCCAGTGTCTATGATTCCGTTTGTACGGGATCTAGTAGCTGTGGTGAATCCTTTTCTCCCCCCATACCTTGTGGAGTTGCTGAGTCGAGCATAAACGTGTCTAGCCTTCCACCGTCCAGTACGCGAAAGTCGACTCCCTGGGGATCTCCTTCGTCATAACGGGATCTCGTGACAAGACGTTCAGACTCTAATGTTTGTGGACTTTTGTGAGTTCTCCTTATACAGTATGCCTCTTATCTCTCCTAACACCTCGAGCTCCAGGTGGGCCACCACGGCTGGGTTCAAGCAGTGACCTTCCACCCCAGTAGCGGACAACCCGGCCATACCCTGCGGATTTTGGATTCGTAGACTGGCCGATGCTTGCGAAAGGTTTTCCTTCACCCCGCGTCCCCTTTGTTATTAACTTAACGTGTTTCTTCTTTCTCGATAGTCGAAGCACACAGCCCCTTCGTGCAATGCGTAGCATGGGGACCTGCACCCTGACAGACGCGAAGAACGACGAGCCAGAGTGTTTTGGCTACGGGTAGAACGGATAAGGTACTGTTGTTACTCTACCTCTTTCTGACGACGAACATTAATGTTCTTAATTCCAGTTAGTTAAGATCTGGAAACCCTGATTTCCGTCGTCCGTCAGCTTATTGAGGATGTGGGACGTTAGTGATCTTACTTCCCGAAAGCAACACTTGCTCCCGGCTTGTTTGACTGACGGCCCACTACCATCGTCTCACAGTCCCTTCTCATCGTCATTCATGCCCGGCCTTGAATCACACCCACACTTCCACTGTCACTGTCAATGTTCTTCGTTCTTTTCATCTCTCTTTCTTCCTTTCTTTACCTTTTTTTTCTCTCTTCCCATTTGTTACACTACGATCACCCACACTCAAACTTCAAGCTGGCCGATGTTCTGCCCTATTCTGTCATCATCAGCATCATTTATCGTTATTCTTTTCGAGACTAGTTTAGCTTGATTAGTGCCCATTACTTTATTGGTCACCTCCAGGCGTCTCTCGAGCCCCTGCTGGCCCAAAAGGAGGAAGAGGAAGATTCATGCACAATAATGCAACCTGCCTACCTTTCACGCATTCCACATCTTCCGGCGCGCCCTTGGGACTCATTTGTGTAGTACCACCCCAGGTATGTCTTACTCGTTTTGGATCTGCTGTGATGACTGATAGATTGTTGTCTTCCAGGCCTGCGGGACGAGCAGGACCAATCGAATGAATGAATGATAGAGCTTCCTCTTTGCGTGGATGTGAAGGCGTGGCTAGACGTCGACACATTTGTTACTGCAAGAATTACTATCGTTCTCTGAGGCTGAGGTGCAAGTTCTGATGAATGCTGGGTTTCAACAACTTTTGACGTAGTAGTACACGTTTACATACAATGGGGTGTCAGACGTATGGTACAAGATAAACAGTAACACTGCCGGCGCGCAATTGGTGCATCGCAAGAAACGATCGAAAAGCATAACGGAGAAGCCCAAAAGCCCAACACTTCCTTCATAAGCTCAGAAACTCCACTACTCCTGCAGCTGCTGAAGCCAATAATTCAAGTTCGCACGATCCTCATCCGTCATCGCATCATCCTCATAACGATATTCCTGATCTTCCCCGATATTCATCGGTTCAACGCTAGGCCACAATGCACCCCGCAAATTAAGGCTTAGTGGTGATGAAGAGGGAGAATCGGCTTGATTTGCTAGGAACCAAGGCACTGCTGCGAATGAGGAGACCGGATCACGTTGTTCGTGGATGTATCCCTGTCCGTCTCCCATGTTAACCATGCTCACAGAGCGATGGGGGCCTGCTACAGCGATCGGAGCTGGGGTTAAGTGGTGGTCGATATATCCTTGTTGGGGCATCTCCATGCTGAAGAGCGATGGGGAGGGTGGTGAAATTGAGCTTGCTGAACCCCCCACTGGATTTCGGTAGCGCCATGCATCCAGATGTCCGAATGGAGGTGCGGAGAAGGAGGACGCAGAAGTCGAAGCTTGGCTGGGGGAGGGAGGGAGAAACGCAGAGGTGGAAGAAGGGAGCACTGGTATTTGGATCGGGTGAGAGGAGAATGATGAGGTGGAAGATGAAGAAGTAGAAGCTTTCATTTGGGGAGCTGGGAATGAGTTGTGTGGATGATGAAAATCGGAGATATTGAATGGAGCATCTAGAGGTGGGAGAACAGTGTCCAGCGCTTGTCCCCTCCCCCTTTGTTTCCCTTTTCGGTGCGAGGTCGCAGTCGTGCGCTTACGAGAAGAGGCAGAAGACGACCTCTGAATAGCTGGTAGGATGATCCCCTCATCTTCCACCACTCTGGGAACCAACTGCCTGCGCTCCAGCACGGGCTTTAGCTGTTCTTGCATCAGGTTCTTGAGGATGCCCGCGATGTTCGTAGCGCACTGCCACGATTTCCCAATCTCGACGAGGTACTGGTGGCAGAGCTTTTGCTGGTCCAGAGCAGTCTCGAGCTCGTTGCGCGCTAAGCGGGTTCCGGAAGTTGCTTGAACGCCCCATAAGAGGTACACCGTTCCAGCTGAGAATACTGCCTGTGCCAGAGTGATTGGCGTGTATCGCAATGTGTAGAGAGAACGCCAAGTCGCGAGTAACTCCATGATGTTTTTTGCGGCGCGCTTGCAGAGCTGAGTAGAATGAGATGTCAGTGATTGAGTTGATCGAGCACACTCATGGCATACACACCTTGACGTGGTCAATCTCCTTGTCAGTGGAGCGAATAAGCTTGGCTCTGCGGTGGAAGAAGGGACGATGGAGAAGGATGAATAGCCACCAATATGTTAGGTGGAGCATTAGCCGGTGAGGCGTCGCCGTTGACCGGGAAGCGATGCTGATGTCAACTTCTGGAGAGAGCGAGCTTTTCCAAGTGTTGAGTTTGATGCTTATAAAGAAAACCGTCAACAGCAGGCAAGTCCACGTTTGCAATCGGAATCTTACTCGATGTCAGTGATAAGTTCAGCAAGAACCACAGGGCGAGAACGAGCCCGATTGAGATTATTGCTAGATGATAACAATAACCATGTCAGCTCCATTAAACTTATAACCATCATCAAACAAAAACTTACACAACATCCATAATGCGGCGTGCGATCATCAACAACTCGCAAGTCACCGCGAAGGTTTTCGAAATATTATTAGCTTGAGGAGGGATGCCAGCCGGTGGATGAGACCACGGCATCTCATCCAAATCCGTGTCCACGAAAGGGACAGGGACCGATGAATTCAATGGGGATGTGACGCAGAAGTCACGTCCCACATACAAGGACCAACACACGTCCTAAGAAAAGGTGAGAGGATCATCTATGAGCGGTGAGAGATTGACTAACCTGCGAGAATGTGGTCCAGTGCGCCCAATTTCGGTCAAGCCTCTCAGTCTCGTCGATGAGACCGAGTTTGACCCAATCCGAGCAATCGACACCTAGACCCACTATCGTTGAAAAGTTTCAGAGACATTGCGCTGCAGGTTATACAGGGAAAGTACAAACGGGCTTGACCCATCCGGGCACTCATGCCTGTAACACAATCCCCATCTTCAGAGAGTATCGCCAAAGAGTGAGAAGGCGACTGACCAAAGTAAAGAAACCCAAGGGTCTGATCCCCTTGAGAAGCATGGAAGGCAGCCAGGAAGTCTAACGCATGCACTACACTCAACTGAGGTTTTTGGCATTCAACCTCTAGATAGCATTTCGCAGTATCAGCGAAACACCGACGGGACTTGAGGTCCCGGATGTTTGGGTCATCGAGAAACGCCGTTCCCAGGGCCACGAGAGCATTATGCAGCATGGGGGAGTAATGTGGAGTTTTGGGCGGGGTGTGGGAGCGCGGAACGGCGAGTGCTCGGTACATGTCTCGAAGGAAGAGGGCCGGGACGATGCGGAGACACCAGGACGTGAAGAACTTGAAGAGAAGGTCAAGGGCTCTGGTAGTGTAACTTATATCAGCGCTGCAGCATCTTGAAAGAGAAGAGACACAGAACGCACTTGTCATGGGACCTCCTGTCCAGGAGGACGTTGGACGGGAGGTGTCTCGACCAATCAAAGTTCGGATTATAGTGGCTGTCATCCACACCGTCTGCCAGCAGTATGTAAGTCGCGTCAGGGTTCTCCGCGATGGCTGGGAAACGAGAAGGCCCCTCGACTGGGAGAGGAACTTGCACAAAACGGAAGACTGCGGTATTGCCATGCGCAAGAAGAAACCCTCCTTCTTCGAGCTGTATTAAGAGTGAATAAACGAAGTATACCTCTGATAGGAAAGAGAAACGCACGTTGAGGTTCCGGGTGGGTATGCACAATTCTCTGACTGGAGATTCATTTTCCGAGTCAGACCCGGCACCAGTCTCTTCAATTCGTTCTGGGATATGGTCTGCCATATCCCACATTGCGTCTGTGGGCCGAAGGCGAAGGTATGATGTGTCTATGTCACCCCCATGCTCTCGACAGCATTTGTCAAGCAGCTTTTCGAGGTGATTAGCGTATTCCCGGAGCGCCTCGATGTTCTTCTGCATGGATTCGAAGAGAGCCTCGGTTCGAGCTTTGCGGACTATAGGTTCTCTTGCCCATGAACACTGTTGTGAAAATGATGTTAAACGGGGGAGTGTTGGAGTGGTTTTGCATACCTCTGCTTCCCGACCTGACTTAAAACAATGACCACATACGGGTCTCTGATTGTCACACTTTGTCTTCCTTGAATAGGGAGACTCGTTCAATTGTGCATCCCCAGAAAAACTGATTGAGCGTACTTTCGACGACAAATGTTACATGCTTGCGCAGAGTAGGGACCCCGCACATTGGTGGAACTTCCTTCGTCGTCGCCCTCAAGGTTCACTTGAAAAGAACCTTTCGATTTAGACGGAGGTGTCGGCATCATAATATGATAGCGGAGGGATTGTGAAAGCTCAAACAACCACTGATGCAGACATCTTTATGAGTTCACCATCCTGTGCACGTTGCCAAATACGCACCGTCAAGAGGATGTATTGTGCATAGCATCTCCCGTGTCCTTCTCTGTCAACTTCTCGGAAACCACACGGATGTCAGGAATGATTGTGCACAGCGCGTCTAATCCACATACACCCTGCATGAAGGCCATCGTATCGTAACGCCAGAGCAACTGACACTCTCGAAGACGAGAAAACGCGACCGCTATCCGTGAAAGTCTTTTCAAAACATCGAAGAGTAGATGACCCGCCAAGTTGTTGAGGATGTCGAATTTTCCAAGTTCCCTTGCAGCTTGCTCGTCAACTCCAAGAGACGGGCCAGTTCAAATATGGATGCCGCACGTGATGTTCGGAACTCGACACATTTCAGCCACCACTAACTTGAAGTAGACGCCTTTATCCGATAACACCGTGACCGTACTTAACCTTCGACTGACTTATCACAATTTCACATGTTGGTGGGATAGTATATTACAGATATTCAGCCCCTCTCATCCAAGATTGGATGTGAATGGGTATTTTACTATGTGCCTGCCCACCAATTGCAATTGAATGTGATCTTCCCCCGGGTAGAAACTACACACAATCTTGAGGCGAATGCTCGGGGAGGGCGCGCAAGATCTGAAGACAAAATGAGGCAATGCACCGGGTCCCACCGTGCCATTGAGAAGTATCTACCACCTCGCCATCCAAAGAAATCACTTCCAATTGATCTACCGGAATCTTCGTGAAAGCAATGGTAGCAGGGCCCGGGATGACAGCAGCCAGATCGACAAGGCCCATCAAGGCAAACGCAAACGTCCATCCATGATCAACTGGGCTGAATACCGGTGCAAGGTCATCCCAAAAACCTCTCCCAGTACGACGGTAAAATACCGGGGGCATATGACATACGCTATCGCGCAGTGTCGCAACAAGTTGGAGAACAATTGCGGCTTGGACACTGTTTTGCTCCCCGTAAGCTGAACGCATCAGAAGAATGCCGTATGGCAGGGTGTCGACGGAACTGGGAGGTGCTAGGGCCAGTTGGTGAGTTGATACCCCGAATCGACGATAAAGAGCACAACAGGAGGCGGAAGTGATGACGGGAGGTATGACATTGAAGCTTTGGGGATTGTTGGGGGACAGTGCGGTGATTTGTTGAGAGTCGTGTTTCATGATCTTCTCTCGATTCACCCGTGTGCATTCCAGAATGAGCAAGTCCGTCCTCTTGTCTGTCGATGGGAGCGTGCCCGCAGACTCTTCGACGACTAGTGAGTAACCGAAGCCTGGCGCCGACAACCTGGATAACAAGCAAGTGAGAAACGAAGACATTGAAGCTACCTCCGGGTAGTGGGATTGATACCGACTTGTAAGTTCCTCCACTCCCCGATATTGCCCAATAAAAAGGGTCTACTTTCGTAACGACTCGGCCGCTTTTTTGAAACCCTAGGAACAAACCATTGTGCTCAGATTTGGGAGCGACTTTTGAACCAGTTCCATCGTCTAACAACATCCACTGTTGATGGGGGCCACCAGAGAAAGGGCGCGAAGTTGCTGTACGAAATGAATTAGGATATCTTCCGAATCTACTTTACTTGTTGAAAGGACCTTTATTCAAAGCAAAAAGGTCGAGCGGCTTTCCGCCGGAACTCACAATAAACTGGGGCCCGTCTTCACATAACACGCAATGAGAATCATGGAAATGTAGTTCGGAATGACACTTACAAAAGTCAAACATCGTCCCCGCCGAGTCGCTCCCATCACCAGAACCCAATAGGGACAGCATAGAGGTAGCGGACAGCATAGAGCTAGGGGACATTGACATGCGATCAGCAACGCCAACCACAATTTATAACGGAAAAAACCATTGTTGTCACCGAACACGTCCTGTAAGACGAGGCTGGATTCTTGCCTCTTCACCCCAAGTATCCAGATATGTTGGAGGGCGCTGACCTGTCAGGATAAATATAACGAGGCACCTGACATGGGGCTGTATGTTGACAGCGATCATGATGCCGGAAAAGCCCACACTTGCCCATACTTCTCAGTAGAAACAATGTGAGAAGGCTAACAAAGTTAAGCCCGACAAACATCGCGGATTTCTCAGTGCTTGGAGGGCTGGCCCTGATCAAGCGAGAAAGTTGAGACGTTGCTTGATTGAAGCCGATTGCTATCAAAAATCCTGTCTTTTCAGAAACATTTCGTTCCTGCGGCGTTAACATTGAGCGTTATGAGAAAATCCAGCGTGGGTTTTTTGAGAGGCCTGTTGTTTTTCACGAAGTTCTTTGTGAGATGTAGTGGTGGTGCACAATCCTCGGTATGTGTGACGACCAGTGACATGGTGTGACAGAGCGTCACAGGCCTAATTTCTTGAGACATTGAGTTTGTACTTTCCACATCGCCAATTCAATAGATGTTTTGCAATGAATACAATGATATTAAGTGAATGAATCCACTGGGAGAGTTTTATATGAAATTATTGTATTTATTATTCCAAAAATGCGAAATCAGCCTGTTCTCCCTGCCAAATGTGGCAGTCTGGAGAGATTGGACTATAACTTTTCAACCACAGCATGTATGAACATGATTGGCAGGAGGATTTTACTTAGAATTTAAATTCCAATCGATCTACGAGTCCAGAATTTTTATTTGTGGCCCATGTGCCAAGATAGCCTTGAAAATGAGCACTTTAACATGGTTAAGGGGTAGTAATTAAAATTCTGGACTCGTAGGATTAAAGCCACATACTAATCGATGATTTCGTCTCTGCAAACCTAAGCCACAATCCCATCTGTTGTGGAGTTAATAGCTCAAGCAAGCAACCTTGGGCTCATAGGTGGTGCACAGCCACTGATCCAATTCCAGAATGAGTTGTGACCATTTCCCTTAGTTTTTCTTTTGTAGAATAGTTGTATAATAGCCTACCTGATACATTCAAAGTGGTGTAATAATGCTGAACATGAAAAATATCTAAAGAAAATGCAGTTTTCTGGCAAACATCTCATTCACTCTCATAGCCCTCAATATCCTCCCAACCATCCTCCTCATCCTCCTCATCCCCCTCTTCCTCTGACAGATTAATATTTTCACTCTCACTCTCCTCATCTTGGACAAGCTTCCAAGCACCATTTGTATGCAGATCAATAGCATCTACAAGTGCTTTGCGGATATCAGCAACTTTGGTTGGCATTGGCCCCTGCTTGAGATTTGGAGCACCTGCATTCTTAAAGAGTCTCAATTGGTCCTTGAGGGACACACCTTTGAGTTCTGGGATTTTTTCCTTGTTGAAAACAAGTTCCAACTGTGCAATCTGTTCTGCAGTTGCCTTTGCATTTCAGTCCCGAACCTCCTTGCGTGCAGTTTTCTTGGCTTGTCGTTTGTCATGGAATCGATAAGCTCATTGTGCCTCTTCTCCTCCTCCCCATTTACCTCTCGTCCAAGTTTATGTATATACTGATAGTCCTCCTCAGTAAACTTTGTTGCCATAAATGCTTCTGTGTTGTTGCGGAAAAACATTAACAAGGCATTGCAACTGAGAAGTGTAAGCTGAGGCTGATAGTGCATGAGGCGTCAGAAAGACCCTAGCAGACCTTCATTTTCATCATTTGTTGCAGGCATATGTGCAAGCTCCCTTTCCTCTGCAGTTGCTTCATCAATTAAGCCACCTGGTGCAAATTCTGATGTGAAATGTTCCCATGTTTGTGCTGCTCCTTTGAAAAATGCAATCAAAAGATTGCAGAAGTGAGGGAGTGTAGGGATGAGGTCAAATATCTTCTTTATAACTGCAGGATTCTGCCACTTCTCACCATCTAGAGTAGCTGTTTTGTATGATTCAGAAAGGTCTAAGTCTTTTCCAATGAGAATGTTAGGATTTGCAATAATTTTTTGCATATGATCATAGACACAAGAATGAAAAGGACCAAGGTCAAGCATGTTCTTTTTTTGGGCATCAGAAGTACGGATTGCTTTCATATATGGGTATGAAACAGCCTCAGCATAAATTGCAAGAACAGCAAGCTCAGTGACTGTTGAAGTGCAGTGGAGAGCCTTCCAGAGATTTGATTCCATGTGATTGAGTGTTGGATTTTGCTTGTTGATGTGTAGACTTTCAAGAAAATCCTTGAATTCATCTCCATAGAGAATAAGAGCTGCAGCAGCATTACAGTATGACTGGAATTGATTGTTGGATGTATCAGGAAATGTAAATGGAACTCCAACATGTTCCCACCACCAATAACGAAAGATATCATGGTGGCCCCTTTTACTGTCTTTATGATTGAAGATTGCACCTGCAATTTCTGCAGTTTTAATTGCACCACGTGTTGATTTGTGAAAAGCTCTGTCTTGAGCTGGGGTTGGGGTGTCACCTTTCTCAAGAGCAGTGTCTCGCTCTTGAACCACAGGATCATTATCACGATTGGCAAGAAGAACAGGGCATTCTTCCTCAAGTTCATTCTCAATCCACCAAGCTGCCATTGCTAGATACCCTCCCTGAATAGTGTTCAGATCCTTGTGGCAACCACAGCCAGCCCAGATAAACAGCCGGAAAACATGTTTTTCCTCATCAGAGAGATTATCAAACTCTTCTTTTCCCAACTGAGCAACTGCCTCTTCAATCATTTTGGCCTTCCTCTCAGCCTTCTTGATGTCAGATAATTTGTTCCATTTGTTTACCCCACCAGCTTTTCTAATCATTTCCTCTTCTGCTTTCTTGAAATAGTCACAAACCTCCTCTAATGGCATTTCTAACATTTTTTCCTCTCCAAGATGTTGATCAACAGCCCAAGCCTTCAGAGTCTCAAGCAATTGGGCATCTTTTTTTTCCTTTGAACAGTGATCAGTACTCATTCCTGCAAGTTTGATCAAAAGATTAATAAAATTGAGGAGTCCACCTGAGTGCTTTCCAAGAGGACTTTTATTGTAGAGGTCAATAATTTTCTTGAGACCACTCTCCCAGTCTGCAATAGCCTCTTCACTAGATCCATCTTTGGATGATTGAATTCCAAAAGTTCGGGTTACTCGTTGCTTTGAACTGCCTTCTGGTGAAGTGTAATCCTCAGCAATAAGGTGAACATGGCGGGAATTGTAGTTGATGCTATGATGACCTGTACCATCTGCACTAAAAGTCATACTTTCTGCTTTTTCCATCTCATATCCAAGCTGAATTTGTGCAGCAAAATATCCCTCATGAAGAATTCGAGAAACAGAAGTGCGGCTGATGCTGCCAACACCTGTTATTCCTGCAGATTTGAGGACAGTTGAAATAACCTCACCAACAAGGTTTTGTGAGCAGCCAGCCTTAACAAGTAGACAGACAACATTGCGTGTTTCCTCAGTGAAGACACCCTTTTGCATTAAATAATGAACTGATCATTGGTTTAAGATCTTCTTCTTGACTGAGGCCATTGCTTGCTCCTTTTGTTCTTTACCATGTTTGACTGCCTTGCGTAACTTGGAAGCTTTGTTGCATAATGTCTTCAGGTCAGAGTTTGATTCAGCAAGCTTGGCATGGGATTTCTCAAGCTGCAAGGTCCACCTAGCCATAGCCATGGAGAGTTCATTATGGAGAGTGTCATTCTGCTTCTGTAGTAATGCAATAGCCTTATGTGACTCATGAGAGCCTCTCAAAAGCTGCTTAGAAGTCTCTTTCTCTGCAGTCTTAAGGATCTCTACCTGATTCTGTAATTGGGTCAATTTTTGTTGCCCTCTTTTTGAGGTTTGGCGCTGCATACGAAGCTCATGATATGTTTTCCCATGCTTTTCCTGCCAAAGGGCAGAGCTGTCCTTATGCATGTGCAGTTCCTGATTAGCCTTATCAAGCTCTGATTTAAGTCTGTGGCATTCTGTATCTCTATCAGCAAGCAGATTCTCCAGCTCCTTAATTCGTGAGTTTGCAGCCTGTAAGCTATTCCAGAGATCATCTGTGGCAGTCTCTGAAGCAAAGGCAGCTCTCTTTTCAGCAATAACCTCTTGTCCTCTCAAGTGAGCTACTGCAGCCTGCCATTTTCGTGCTGTTCCTGGTGCCATAACATAAAACTACAGATGTTGTCACTACTAAGTGGCCAAGATGCAGGTGTTGCCTGAGATGAGAGTAACCAAGAGAACAAGCAAAGAGCAAGAGAGACAGGCAAAGAATGGAACACAGAGAAAGGGAGAGGGCAAAGAATGTCCTGACAAGAGTGGCACCAACAATACCTGCAAAGATATATAATTTTATAGACTCCAATTAGTTGATTTGCCTATATTCATACCTAAAGTAGATGTTGAATTACTGTATAAATCCTAGATTTAAGACAAAAATAAGATATATATGAATTTCTAAAGCTCAAGCACAGATCCTTACTTGTATTATGGACTTGGATGCTTTTTGATAATAAAAAAGCAGTAAAAGCACTAAAATGGGGGTGTTTTGGGGTTATAGGCTGTTGATGTGGTGGTAAAGTGTAAAGAAGCTCTCTTGAAGAAATCCAGCAACATCCCTTCATACATGAGGCTGGCCATGCATATGCCATGTTGTGCACAACCCATTCTGGAATTGACTTAGTGGCTGTGCACCACCTATGAGCCCAAGGTTGCTTGCTTGAGCTATTAACTCCACAACAGATGGGATTGTGGCTTAGGTTTGCAGAGACGAAATCATCGATTAGTATGTGGCTTTAATCCTACGAGTCCAGAATTTTAATTACTACCCCTTAACCATGTTAAAGTGCCCATTTTCAAGGCTATCTTGGCACATGGGCCACAAATAAAAATTCTGGACTCGTAGATCGATTGGAATTTAAATTCTAAGTAAAATCCTCCTGCCAATCGTGTTCATACATGCTGTGGTTGAAAAGTTATAGTCCAATCTCTCCAGACTGCCACATTTGGCAGGGAGAACAGGCTGATTTCGCATTTTTGGAATAATAAATACAATAATTTCATATAAAACTCTCCCAGTGGATTCATTCACTTAATATCATTGTATTCATTGCAAAACATCTATTGAATTGGTGATGTGGAAAGTACAAACTCAATGTCTCAAGAAATTAGGCCTGTGACGCTCTGTCACAGCATGTCACTGGTCGTCACACATACCAAGGATTGTGCACCACCAGATGTACACCACCAAAAGGTCGCCAGGTCACAGACACCTGGATCAAATGATGTAATCACACCTAGTTTCCATGTCGCGTCAACCCATTGACAGCTGGGTGCCGTGTGAACTTCGCACTAAACACAGCATGGCACCGGGATACCTGTCCCTGGGGTGGAGCGAGATGTTGAGGACAGGTGGTCATTCAGGGAATGCTGGTATATTGGGCTGGGTATGAGCTACCAGGGTTTACATGTTTACATCTCATTTTCATAAATTTATTCATCCTCATTTGCACCTTGCTTTATTTCAATTTGAGAACATAAACAAAAGAATAGATTGCATTTTGACAACAGGCTACACAAGAGTTATATACTCTACTACTCATATAGGTTGACACTGTTTGTGGTGGTGTCAAGTGGGCTGATCTGTAATAAGGTGTTGGATGAGTTGGTAGGCCGTCATGAAGGGTTACTGGGTACGTACCTAGAACAGATGCACGAACAAGGTAAAAAGGAGGGGTGTGACGCGATGTTGCTCACCTGGACGTTGTTCGGCGTTCGTCGTGCATTGTTGTTGGTCCATTGCTAGTTGTCACATTGCCGTCGATGACATGGCCCCTGTTTCTTATGTGAAAAAAAGAGAGGAGGGGTGTCGTCTTGCTCACCTTGATGTTGTTCGTTGTTGTAGATCATTGCCGATGGCAATATGGCCTGGGCTCCTTTAGTCAAAAACGGAGGGAGAGGGGTATAGTGTTACTCACCTGGACATTCACCATTGTTGGTCGTCCTCGTTTGTCGGCATTTGTCTTTTGCAAGTTGAGACGGCGACGTGGCACTGCTTTCTCATGTGAAAAAAGGAAAGGGGTACAGCAGTCACCTTGCTCACCTTATTTCAAGGGGATGGTGACAATGATTTGCGTCGTCACCATCTGGACAATGTGGCATGTCCGCTGGCGTGCCAGGTCGTCTTCATCCTGTTGAAATGTGGTGCGCTGACAGGCTGGTTACCTGGCATTGCATCGTTGAGGGCATTTGAACGATTGATGCAGGGTGCTGGTGGTTATTGACAGTGGTGACAGAGAAGAATGGTGCTGGAGACAGAAGGTGAGAGTGAGGAAGGTTGAGCTGGGGTTGGAAGTATTTGAACCTGCGGAGTGTCTGAGTTTGAAATGACTTGGGTGAAATTTCGCTCACTGTGCACGGCAAATGTTGTTACAAGCTGTATTTGCATACGACTAATGTATATTTCAAAGTGCAAAAGCACTACATTAACTGTCTCTTACATAGCCCTTGCCTTTGAGTGAAATCTAGCAGTTATACTAATTTTGTGGTAAGGTGGTCTCTATGTTTACAGCAGAGCTGGTGCCCATGTATGAACCAGCTGATGGCCAGCTGGGCCTGGGCACAGCATGTGGATCAGGTAACTCACAGGTGACAGATTTGATGAGCATCAGGAAATTTGGCAACCCGCCATCAACCTGTGCGCCAATTGGCGGTGTAGATGAGTGAATGCAGTGGTAAAAAAGATTGTACTTGGCAACCCAATTGGGCGCGTAAATAAAGACAAATAGCCGGACCACTTCCCACCCTACGCTCGCTTGAGGCGAAGACGAAATCGGTATCGCCGTACACTGGGCAAGATCAAGCGATAAGCAATGAGCGAGATTCGGCGAAAGCTGGTTATCGTCGGTGACGGATGCGCTGGCAAGGTGATCCTCTGGATCCTCTGGACCACGTCCAGTGATCGATTTGAATTTTATTCCGTAGACATCCTTGGCAATCTTATTCACGACTGGAGTGGTATATCAGGTATGAATATTGAATTTACACTTCTTCAAAGGAAATATCCCAACTCAACCTCATAAAATAGGCATATGTTGGGACTGTGTTTGAGAATTATGTCGCTGATGTCGAGGTGGATGGAAAGCATGTCGAGTTAGCCATGTGGGACACAGCCGGGCCTGAGGATTACGATAGGCTCCGTCCTCTGAGCTACCCCGACTCACATGTCATTGTTATATGTTTCGACATTGGCTATCCTGATTCACTTGAGAACATCAAAGAGAAGGTGCGAACCAGGTTTCTTCAACATGATGTCCTCATTGATTGATTGCATCTACTTTATCGTGTACGTGGTGGCAGTGGATTGCGGAAGTGAATCACTTCTGTCCAGGAATTCCTATCATACTAGTAGGCTGTAAAATCGAGCTTAGACGCGATCCGCAAACCATCGAAGAGCTTCGGAAGCAGCACCAGCGCCCGGTCACTTATGAAGAGGTGAGTGTAAGATTTTGTCGTCTAACAGAAAATTGTAATCCAATGCACCTCCATGTCAGGGGTTAGAAGTTTCGAAGAGGATACAAGCAAAGCATTACGTCGAATGCTCTGGAAGAACTGGAGAGGGTGTACGTGATGTGTTTCAACTCGCAACACGTGAAACACTTCGTCCTCGGAGGAGACCTGTTAAACCTGTCAAACCCTCGAAAGGTTTTACCCTGTTTAAAGGGCTACTTAAGACTGGGCCTAAAGCCATTGAACACGACACGGAATCTCAATCAGCCCCCCCTCTAGATGCTGCCGAAGAGAAAGAGTTGAGGAGATTATTGATTGCAGCTACTGCTGCTGCCCCACAGGCTCTTACAAAGTTCAGATTACTGATCATAGGGAAGACGGGCTGCGGCAAAACAACTATTTTGAGCAAGGTATATACCCCTATTTTACTTGCAACCCTAGTAAATTCAACTTGTTCAAGGTGTGCGGTGGTAATATGGTAAGCGAAACTCAAAAATATTAAATCTGCACTACATGCTTCACCTTTCAAGTGGATCGCCCTAGTACAACGGTAGGTGAAATTTACCCAGATTTCCGTCAAGAGTTGAACCGCCATGCAGAGAGGCTCTCACAATATCGAAAAAGAAATTGAGTTCGAACGGAACAGCAAAATCATCGCTCACGATTCTGAGGGCTTCGAAGCAGGAAAGCAGAACGAAGTGGATGTTGTCAGGAAGTTTATTGACAGAAGACCTCAGGAAAGAGATATAAATCGAAGATTGCACTTGGTGTGGTTCGTCTTGCTTCCTTCTCTATTCATTGTGAAACCGGTCATTTGAGTTCATCGCAGGTACTGCATGGAGATGAACGCACGGCCTATTCAACAAGCGGAAAAGGATTTTTTTTCGACGCCTTTACAAGGTATATTTTTATAAAACCAGTATCTTGCTTCAATTTGATTTCCCTCGAAGTTCCTATTGTAGCTATTGTGACGAAGTTTGACACATTTGTTCAAGATGTGCAGCAAAAATTAGAAGAATCCGCTGAAGAGGAAGATGAGGAGGTTGACGACGACGATGTCGAGAAGCTTGCCGAAATACAAGCTGATATGCAATTTGAGCAGCACTACAAAGGGCCTTTGAACGATATGAAGCACCCTCCGAAGGCGGTCGTGACTTTATCTAAAGGTGAGATACTTTCTGTCCATTCCGGCGATGATTAATAGAAAGTATAGTGCATGAGTCTTCCCCGGACGACAGCCGCTTAGCCAGATTGATCAGTGAAACTCTGAAAGTGCTAGAACTTACCGAAACAGAACTGCAAAGCAAAGAGCGGAACATTTACGACCTCAGCACCTTCTTCGCGACTGCTCAGAACGCTGATACGGAAGTCAAGCTTACAACCTCAGCTTCGTGCGTTTTTATCTTGTTTGCCAACGTTGCACCGGCACTTATACTTTTTCAGAGACGGATTAAATTGTAAATTGCTTCGCTGAAAGTTAGAGAATCCCAACTAAAATTCATTTTCAAAGGGAATCGTGACAAGGACCATTCCATGCCCATGTTCCGTAGCGGACCTTTTATCAAGACATGGGAAACATATTGGACTCACCCGAAGTCTGGATCCCAAGTACCTGCTACGGTGAGTGTCTGATGAAGTTTCTGCTGGTTGATTAAGCTCATCGGCACTTCTAGCTTGTTCGCCTTTTGGAGAAACATCTGGACAGTAGCCAACACTACATAGGAGATCCAAGATCAGACTTTTTTGAAGTGAGAGATGGCAGTCCCAATCTATTGAGGTTCTGCAAGTGGGAGCAACGTGTAGCAGGTAGGAGAACAGCGAACATATTTTCATATTTGATAACGGCTGATTATGTCGAATTTATTCAAGACACAACGCTCATCATGGAGAAGATTCGAGTTTTCGATATCAAGGACGAGTTGAAGACGCTCGAAGCGTTGATCAAGTGGTATACCCAGCGAAGCGATACCGTCACGTACGTTCGTAAGGAAGTTATGCGACTTTATCGACAAAGAAAGTGGGAAAATTATCAAGTTCCGAAGCAGTGGTCTCGGAGCGTTGCGCAACCCCTGGTCGACATAGTCTGCAATCGGCCAGTGGAAGTTCCGAGCTAATTGTTGGCGGAATTCATTAGGGCCGTTTTCTGCCTCCATCTTTTGGGGAATCATTCTGTATTGGAACCCGGTATATGGTATATACTCACTGTAATCTAGTTTGGAAGGAAGGAATTTTAAAAGAGAACTCAGATGCAAAACATCACATCCAGCACCTTTTTTCCCTGTCTTTCGGTATGTGCGCCGCTACGGCGTGGGCATACCTGGGTTTCCTAGGGCGGCTCTCTATTCATCGTTGCCACTGACTGATTCGACTCGTAAATGCTGAGGCAGGTCAGCCGAGATATAATTCACATTAACGATCTATCAGCACACCTTTCTTTGAGAGATTAAGAGTACGTACATCTCTCAAACTCGGATTTTCTGCCTTTTTTGAAAAAAAGCGCGGCGAGCAGTTCGGCGACTCGAGCATGCATTGCAAAGATAGGCTGTGTGCGGTTAGGGCCCTGTGATAGAAGTTGAACATGAGAAACCGCTACGTTGTTCTTGCTCGATCTTCGTAACTCCACTGGCTCTTGGTGGCATCTAAAAAAATCCATCAATGGGTAGCTGGTGCATATGTACGTACAAAATATTCACTCTGGGAGTCTTCTTCGGGCCGAAATTTCCTAGTTCCAAACAATATGACGTCACAGGAAACTGAGTATCTGCAATTTGCGTTGGCTTCCTTGCTCGACGCTTGGACGATCTCCCCCCTGTGGGCACCAGCAACTTGGGAGGGCATGAAAAGCGTGCAAGTCTATTTATATGGAGACGCGTGGTTTGAAGAGTAGCGATTGTATGTCGATACTAGCTATTGGTGGCGTGGATCGTACGCGTAAATGAGTGAATGAAACGTCGAGGTGTCCGTGAAATAAATAGTAAGTAGTCCATAGTATAAATAGCGTTCAAAGCGGATCGTCTGTCAAGTGACAAGAATGAGGTGAGGTTTAGGTGATATGCAGGTACTGGATTGTGATATACAGCTTGCCAGTGATTGATCATGGATGAGCACGCCGCCGTCGGCGCATGGCTCGGTGTTGGACTTCTGTCTGATCAACGACGTGGTGGACAGGCGACCCCGCACCTCCGACAGCGGTGGGTGGTTGGTTCGAACTCGGCACGTCCAGCTCTCGGGCCACTGGAATGGCGGATCCCAATACGACAGTTGAGGTCGAGGACAAGGCGAGGATGAGGGCATATATCCACTGGCAGCGCATGGCGAGCGAGATGTACTGTGGCGGCCAAGGATGAGATTAGTCGTTCACCTCGTTATCTGAGACGAACTTACGATGCGAGAGTCAATAGAAGAGCAAACGTAAAGGTGTATGGGGACGTTGACGTTATATGTGCTTGCGAGCGGCGATTAGATGGTGGTGGTAGAAGTCTAAGTGGTGAGTACAGCCTAAGAATAATTTCAACGCAGGCGTTTACACGCCGATGAAGGAATTTGAAAGTTGCACCGCAGTCCGGTCGACTCGGAGCAGGCTCAGCCCTGTTCGAATTGAATTTGGACTCCGAGCTAGCCGCCGGACCGGTTCACTTGATAGCTCTCCTCCTCCCATCATGACAAAACACAGCAAAAACAATACAGCATCCTCCATCTTCAGCTACGCAGAGTATAAGAAGCTGGACTATGGCACGAAACGCGTACGTTTCCCCTCTCCCCCTCTTATTATCAGCTAACACAATGGACAGCAACGTCTAGGCAACGAATCAATGCGTCGTTTCGACGCATGCGCACTATGCCTCAACCGCGCTCGGGAGCCTCTAGCTTGCACCGAGGGCCATTTATTCTGTAAAGAATGCGTATACACCGATCTCCGTACATCCACATCCATATCTCGCAAATCGAGTGGTAACTAACTTGGTATGGGATAGTGACACAGAAAAAGGACATCAAACGACAAAAGGAACGCCTGGACGCGATGAAGAAGGAAGCGGAGGAGGAAAGGACACGCGTTCGAGCGGCTGCGCGTGAACGTGTTTTGCTGGAGTTTGAGAAGGGGCAGTTGGGGTTAGCTGGAAATCCGACAGTAGCTGGTACCAAGTCTGGTTCTTCTGGTTCCGTTATAGCGAGTGAATCAAAGGACGAAAGTAAGCCGTCTCATGATAATTTCCACGCTTTATTTTCTTATCAACCAACAAAACACACAAAAAGGCAGAGGCACCAAACGCAAATTCGAATTCTCCTCAACAACGGTCGAATCCCTCGCCCACGAAGCAGAGGAATCAGCGGTTGCGCAGATCGAAAAAGAACAAGCAGAGGCGCTGAAGCATAAATTGCCCGACTTTTGGCTCCCCTCGTTGACGCCTACGTTTACGTCTAATGGGCCACCGCAGTCGTTGATGGATATTAAAGTCCAGACGACGTGTCGGGGCGGGACTCCGGCGCATCCTATTGCGTGAGTCTTCCCCTTTTTTTTCTTTCGTCGTCGCTGTCGTTTCTTATTCTTGTGCGTGTGGTGTAGATTGAAGAACCTGATCCCCGTCAAATTCACATTCTACTCCTCGGGTGGCACCTCCCAATCAACCGAATCCACATCAGAGTCAAAAGTGAAGAAAGACGAACCAGAACCAATGTGTCCGTCATGTAAGAAACATCTGTCAAATAGCTCAATCATGTTCTGTACGTCCTTCACACTCCCCAGACCCTTTCTCTTCACCTCAAGATGGCTTATACTTTGTGTGCACAGTGATGAAACCCTGCGCCCACGTAACCTGCAAGACATGCACAGACTCACTCGTGCGTCCTGCAAAACAGTGTATAGTGTGTGATACGCAGCTCAAGGAGAAGGATGTTATTGAACTTAAGCGGGAAGGTTCGTTTCTTTTCGTTATTTATCTGCAGTCTCCTTGTTTTTCTTCCTTATCCGCCTTTTTTCCACTTTATCCTTTTGGTTTTCGGTCCTTGTGTGGGGGTTCGGGGCCCACGTTTGTTTGTGTGGATTCACGCTTTCTTGTGTGGGGGCTCAGGACCTCTTATGTGTGGATTCACGGCCCTTACGTGTGGGCCCATGACTCTCATGTGTTGGTCCATGGCTTTTATGTGTGAATTCCCGACTCTTTTGTCTGGGCCCACGACTCTTATGTTATGTGTGGACTCGTACCTCTCATATGACGGCTCACGTCTCTTATGTTTGGATTCGCCACCGCATTTGTGACTTACGTGTGGGCTCACGGCTCTCATGTGTGTATTCGCGACTCTTTTGTGCGGATTCGCGTCTTTTATGTGGGCATCCGGCTCTGGTGGATCCATGACCCTTGTGTGTGAATCTATGTGCGGGCTCACCTTCTATATATGGCTCCACGACCTTTATGTGTGGCCCCACGACCTTTATGTGTGGCCCCACGACTTTTATGTGTGGGCTAGCGAGTCTTATGCGTCCCCACGACATATATGTAAATCTTCATGGTTCTTGTGTACTGACCAACTTTTCTCGTAGGCACAGGTTTCGCAGGTGGCGGAATGGCAGAGACTTCGAGGGCTGGGATCGCATTCCAGGGGTAGGTTTCTTTGGTGGTCCAACTCTACGGATACCCTTTCTTTGTATCTGTGCTATCGGGGGCATGGCTAGTGAATAGAACAAGATTACACTGAATGCACCGCTTTTCTCCCAGCCTCTCTATGTTCGAAACCAAACTTATCAGCAGCCAACCATCACAGGTAGTGCAGCCAACACACTCGCCACGGACTCCCCGACCTCAGTGGCCTCTACGATACGGTGCGGCTTTCGAGTTTTGGCTGACTGTCATGGATGTATGCGCCAACGACCCGCAGTGACGGCAAGTGTCAGAACATCGTTCAACCTTTTGAGCACGGCTTAAGATTTCTTCATGCCTTCCGAGTCGACCGCCTGCATCAATTCCGGCCGCATATAGTCGATATCCGACTGCTTCGCTTTACGGTACAAGCTTCCTAAAGCTCAACTTGGCGCCCGCGTAAGGTCGGGCTTCGTTTTTAAGGCTGCGCTTCAGAAGTGCCCACACATGTTGTAACAGTGCGAGTTCTTATATCGGATCCGCACCCTTCAAAGCATGTCAGCACGAAGTTGAAAAGGTTGATTTCACAATTCCCTTGCACTAAAGTGACTGACCTGAAGCACTGTACAGCCTGCCTGGCAAGGATGAACGATCTGCTCTGCCGCCTACATGCTCTTAGTAGATGAAGGGAGAGTTGGCGTCAGCAACATCTATTCAGACCAAGTACTCACCCTTTCATGCCGCCCCATACCAAACCAGGGACTCCGCGGAAATGTGCTAAACAAACTCGGCGGCCTGCCTCACAACGTGGGCAGGCAATTACGTCCAAATACAACCTTAAACATGCTTAACTCATTCTCGCAATCTCTCACAGCGTATCGTTTATAATTTCAGAAGAATGCTGCCCACCAAGGTTACACATCGACCTCTCCACATCGTTCACTGGATTATCCGTCGAAATGTCAAGGAAATCCCCCAACATCGTCGTTCGGGTCTTCACCGTGTTCATCCTCGCCCATCCAATTTCCGGTAGCGTTACATCAGCAGTCTGTGGATGGAGTGGCACGGCCCCATTCTGTAGCGGAGGGTGTTCATCCGGGCAAACCCAACTTCCTTCCAACTCGCAGAAATGCGGTACAGGCTCATGCTGCTGGACTGGATCAAAGGCGTTATGTTGTACCCTTCCGAGCTGCCCTTCCGGTTTTGAATGGGTTGGAACAAATTCCGTTTCTCAGTTTCCTCCTTTCACTGATTGACGAATTTGTCTTTCAGGCAAGAAATCAGGTCGGTGTCGACCCTTGCTTTCTCGCTTCACAGATATCCGAGGCGTGTGCACCTACCAATCGTATGTCTTGTATTTCATGAACTGACTCAAAGCTGAATGCTTTTGTTATAAGAACTTGAGATTTTGATTGGAAACGGAAACTCATATGCCCCTCCCACAGCGAGCGACGCGACGCCTTGTACATGCTCATCTCCCCTTTACTTTCTCGCGTCTGCTTGCGCGTTTTGTCAAGGTGGAACATATGTCGAGTAAGGTCCTTTTATTGACACCCTTCCACAAAGATCATGCTGAGGTGACTCCTTTAGCTGGAAAACATGGTCTGCGGCCTGTACCACAATCGTTACTTCTGCTTCAGGGTATGTCTTTCAGTTATCACCTCCTTGGTAAAGGTCACTGACAATAGCAGTTTGATGGCTTCTGCTTCTGGCATACCAGGTCGGGTACAAGTTTTGACGTTGCAGTTTGATATCCTGACTTGATTTTGATTGCTCTACCACCCAGACCTTCCGCCATGGTCGCTACTAAACGTCACAGTAATTCACATTCTGAGCTCGACAACTCCGGAACTACTTCATTGATTCATTTTATTCTAGGCTCAACCCTCCTTCAACGCCACAATTGCTCAAGATGTGGCAGAGGGGATGCCTGTGCCTGCGACTTCCACTTCTACGGTCATGACGACCCAGACGCTAGCAGGCTCTTCTGCCACGCCGACTGAAACGCCAAGCCCTTCACAGTTGAGCCATTCCAAGTCCTCAATGAAGGGTAAATCTGCTGTAGGCGCCGCAGTTGGAGGTACCATTGGGGGGATTGCGTTGGTTGCATTACTTGCGTTTTGGTGCAGGCGAACTAGTCCTCAGGCACGCTCTTTCGAGCAACCACAGGTCCCTGACAGGGGCTCCAGCTTTCGCACTACTCTTGTCAACGAAAGGCCTTTGACTTCGAGTGAATTTGGAGATGGCCGTGGAAGCTCCATGTAGGGCACAGTGGAGCGCATGTTAATGTCTTTGTATGCCTCTCTGTTACCTACCACGAATCAAGGTCTATTGTCAAATGGGCAGAATCCTCCACGAAGCCTTTGGAACGGTTTCGGTATGAGAATTGGGAAGTCGAATGCTGGTCACTATACTAGTAAGTACAAGGAGGTCGACTCGGAGAATATCGTCACACTGAATACATTACTTTTACTTTCTAACCCTCAAGTCAATATCAAACCAGTCTGTATCAAACAGGCGAAACAGCCTGCCACGGACTCCCAGACCTCGCGCCCAAATCTAAGAAGTCCCCACCCCGGCCCAAACCCTCATTCACCGCAGGTCTATACCGGTTTGGCTCCAACTTGTTCGCAGAGTCCAGCTTGGACAGAGAAGGGACAGAGTTCAGCTTCGTCTGCGAAGTGGCCGAGGGCACTCCAGGGTCCACCGACGTTTTGTGGGAGAGTGAGTGTGGCAACGGAGAATGCGACAGGTGCGGTGACTCCGAGACGGCATATGGATGGGAATGGGGTGAGGATGGTAGTGGTGATATGTCCACGATATCTGTATTATCCTGCGGCAGGACTTTCCGATCACGCGACTTGCTCCAGTGACCGATTTGAGTGGCACTGTCGTTGCTAGTCGTACCGCCTGGCTTGTAGTTATACTGTATGCCTTTTGATCCGAACCCTGATCCGGTGGTGGACTGGCTCCCACCCGCGCCTCGAAGGTTGAGGAGGAGTCGGCAAGAGAGTACGACTTCGAATACTAGTGTTGGGCTTGAGAAAGTGTCAATTGATCGTTGGAGCCAGAGAGGGCAAGAAGATGCGTACGTCAAATTCACAGCTCTCAACCCCTGGGGTGCGCTAGTGAGAATACCGATATTCACAAGGTTCATGGAGAAGATGGCGAAGAAGTAGAGCACCCCATCTCGCCAGATGATATCAAACAGCGCCGTGTTCACCTCTCGCCTCCAGTATTCGTAGGCTTTGTATGCTGTCAACCTACATCACCAGCTCAGCTCATCGACACAAAGATTCCGGGGAGAGGTTGAAGGACGTACAGGAACGTGAGAGCATCGTAGAAGAGGGGAATAGACTGTGGGTGGCGCCAGTGAGATCGGTAGCATGCTGATTAAATGGCAGCAACACACCCAGAAAGTGAGTAACCATGATTGTGGACCCATGACTGCTCCGCAGGGCGGCCTCTGGCCTGCTGGCGCAGTGGACGGGGGAGGAGGGTGCGTTGTGCTCACGGATATGCCGCCGACCACCAGCTCTCCAACGATGATGAAGGCGAGGAGGGCGCCAATAATCCGGCTTTTGTTGTAGATCTGAGGCGGGTTGGGCTAATTGGCAGTGAGGGGAGAGGGAGGTAGACATACGGCGAAGACTCGAGTTCCAAGGATCATCTGAGAGAGAACGGTAGATAGGAGGGCGCCGACTGGTTCGAAGTAGAACACGTCTATTTGGGGTCGTAAGTGATGAGGGAGAGAGTATGAGGGGTTCGACTAACGTTTACAAGCCCCCGGTCCCCAGGCGTCGGCGACTAGTGATACGACGATACACAATCTGAAATATCAAACTCGACAAAGATGCATATAAGATTCTATGGAATACCCACTGTACCAGCCCGAAATACCGATTCGCTTAAAGCAGCAGAGGTCAGAGGTTACCCGATCTATGCAGTTCGAGGAAGTACCGACCAAGGTACAACCAGCTTATCGGCTACATGGAGCATGATCAGCTATGGGTATGAAGCCAACATCATGATGGACCTACGGTGAATGGTCTCCTCCAAATGCGCGAGTACTCTTGAGGAAGGCACAGAAGCCACTCCCATCCAAACACGCAAAACCTATAGCGTACTTATTTGAAGAGTTCCAGGAGGGAGGGGGAAGTACCACTTACGAGCCAACTGCCCAGATAAGTACAGCCTGGCCTTGCTTTTGCTTCACAAGTACCGAATGCGGGATGGCAGGCGTGGTGCTTGCTGAAGGTCCTTTGGTCGACATACTCAGGAGGGAGGGGGCATTAGAAGCCGATTGAAATCCTTCATGTTTTATATTACAGCGGCGGAATGTGGGTCATACGACCTATCTGAGCGTCTTCAAACTGATAGTCATTAGTGAGGCTATGTTTGCACACCATGTTCAATCAATGAAGTGATAAGTACCGATCAGCGAAAGAGTGCTGAAGCGCCATGTGTGTTGTACCTGAGGGGGGGTGGGACTCGTGTTTGGTGGCTAGGTTTGGGCGAGACAGGGATTCGGAGCGAGGGCAATAGTGGTTGGAAACATCAAGACAGCGACCCACACGGGTGAGTTTCAAGTGGTAAATGAGGTGGGAACAGCTGTTTGACATTGACAGGCATATTTGACGCCCACGGGCCAGGCCAAAACAACAAAAGGATCTACTGGAGTGGTTGTCGGAGCTCGGCTTTAGCTTGTTCCGGCTTTAAGCCCGCTGTACATCCTCCCAGAATTTTTGAACTCAATGCCCGAATTTCCGGACATGACATCAGAGCTAGCTAAAATGTCTGTCAGGAGAATGACCATGTAAAGTCGGAGGAAGATGCCGCACCCGAAGTGCTTCTATGTATGTCATCTATAAAAGGTGACTTGGGAGCGAATGACTCGTGTATTGATTCTTATCTCCAGAGTCTGCCTGCGACATCAGAAATAGGACGAACACTGCGAAATCAAAATTACAAATGCGGTACGAAATGGGTCCATTGGATTGCGTCGTATGCACCGGGAGAAAGGGCCCTCAAAGCCAAAAAGGCTTGGACCAACAGGATGAGTCGAGAAATCACATAGATCATGACGACGATGAACGTCGCGAGGTCTACGAACAACCTAACCGCCTGACCTACTGAAGACATCTTCAAATCATGACTGTAACCAAAATTAAGTAAGAAAAAAAGAGCAAGCATGATGAAAGGAATGGAAGTGATAGCCAAAGAAGCTATACGCCATATTGTTCTCTCCACGACGGTTGGAAACGAGAATGACCAGGCAATACAGTGGATCCCACCAAAGATCGTCGCGAGAGTTGATGAGGTGAACCCCATCGCAAAGCTCTCCGTTGGCGTAACCTCCCTGGCGTGGAAAGTTGGTACCCTTTTCGCCTCTGGCTTGACAGAAGTAGCTTCCCCTGAGCCAATCATGTCGCTCATCGGACGAACGAAAGCGGAGAAGACAACGAAACGGACGGCGCCTGCTGCGCGCTTGATGGCGCGCGAAAGACTAGACATCTGCCCAGCCGACCCTTGTGGTGGCGGCCAGTGGTCTTGAACGTGAATCGATCCCGCCAGGGTATCATTGGATGGTTGTGAGAGCATTGCATCCCTTCTCGTCTCCTCGGGCGTTCTTGCGAAATCCGTCGAAAATCTGCTCTTTCCGGGTACCCTGCTAACATTTTCCACTTCCACCATTTCAACGAACTTGCTCGCCTCGCGGTGGTCTACCACTTGACCACGGAGGATATAAGATGGCGGGGGTGCTTTCCAGTGGACGGGAACAGGACATTGTACATTAAGCGGTTTGTTCCACCACAAAAAGTACAAGACGCCGTTTAAAACAGCGAAACCCAGGGTGACGAGCTCCAATTCCGTGATGACCATTCCTGATATTGCCCGCGCAACACATTGAACCACAAACCACAACGTCTGGAGAACGACCAAACTCTTTGAAAGGCCATCACCTTTGCTTTTGTCCTCAATTTGCCTCTGGGTGATGTCGGGGAAGTCAATGGTTCCGCGGCTATAGAGAAGCTCCATTTCTTCCAAAGTAAGCGGAGAAACCTCCTTTCCATCCCAGCAAAGCATGAAACCCCCCATTTGGATGAAAAATCCGTGAGTCATCGACCAATTCCGTGCTGAGAGGAAAAATATATTCGGTTTAGCACCACTGACTCATAAATAAGCTATACACACCTCTATATCTCTTCGCCACCCGACGGGCGAAACACCATTGCCTCATTGCCCAAATAATGACAAGCTCAGGCGCAATTACAGCACAGAGCATGATTTTAAAACGCCTCGCTGAGACAGCCCACCGTCGATCGTGGGACGCTGGTATGTTGGGGTGTACGGAGACCCAGGTACACGCGAAGATAGTAATGAGACACCCCCAGATAATATCCCAAAGACTCCTTTGGTCAGTTGGTCCAGCTGAGGTGGGAGCTGGACTGAAATCATCTCGACCAAGGTTGAGAAGAGGTCGAGACACGGCGGCATTGGACATGGCGAAGATAACGAGCGCAGAGATGAAGCTTGACATTGGCGCAAAGTAGAAGCCGTCGGCCTAGCATCGGTTGTGAATGAACCCACAGAGAATCAGAGCCGCACTGGACTGCATTCGACATCGCGACCATGTCAGGGTTACAAAGTTTTGAGGGCCAAGTTTTGACAGCGTTGTGAACAGTGCCAAGCAATTACAAATAACGCGAACCAGCTGACTCTTTGAAGCTCACCAATACCTTCGGTGGCACCAATGAGTTCGAGGAATTATGTTTTAGCGCTTCAGCTTATAGGGAATCCAAGTTTTAACCTCACTCACTCACCGCAATCTCAGCTGATCAACGGGCTCAGCGGCATTGATGACTCGGAAAAAACGATAATCAAAAGTAAAACAGAAAAGAAATTTTGAGTCTGATGCTAGTAAAATCATAATGGATTTACCCAGTCGTTACATGTAGCTCCGTGATCTGTTCAAGGCCTAGCCCGGAACTTCCACTGGCCGATTGCAAACTAGGTCAACCAAGGGCTGCGCAACGCTAAGGGACCATTGCTTTGGAATCTCGTACTTCTCCAATTTCCTTCGTCGATAAAGTTGCATGATTCCTTCCCGTACATATATGACAGTACGACTTCGCTGGCTATACCACATTATCAAAGCTTCAAGCGTCTTCTCGTCTTTGATGTTGAAAGTGTAGATCTTCTCCATAACGAGTGTCGTGTCTGATTACAAGTCAAGATAGTAAGACCCTAGCAAACTAAAAGTTACTAATGTCCACTTACCTGCTACCCGCTGCTCCCATTTACAAAATTCAGCAATTCTGGATTGCCACCTTCAATCACGTCCAAAAAATCCCAAGCATTCTTATCGATGTGATGTGGGCTGTCATCCAAGTGCTTTTCTAAGAGGCGAATAAGCTTATAGGTAAATGGGATTGTGAGCTTCACCACAAGTTGAGACGCCATGAAGTACCCACCTTTGCCGTAAGTGCTTGAGATCCAGACTTCGGGTCAGTCCAAAATGTTTCCCATGTCTTGATGAAGGGTCCACCGCGAAACATTGGTTTAGAATGGTCTTTGTCACAATTCCCTAAGGTCCTGGTAATTAGTCGGGGTTCATTACCTTTCGTTGATGAGAAAAATCACAATTAAGTCCATTTCTGAAAAAGAAGGCACATTTTAGAAACAGCATAGATTCTCAAGGTAAAACTCACGAAGCTGAGGTCGTAAGCTTGATCTTAGTGTCAGCATTCTGAGCTGTGGCAAAGAAGGTGCTGAGGTCGTAGACATCCCGCTCTTTGCGCTTCGAGTCCTCTTCCGTGAGGTCAAGAACTTTCAGAGTTTCTTTGATTAATTGGGCTAGGCGGCTGTCATCTGGAGAAGACTTGTGCACTATAGGTCTTTATTATACATTGTCATGATGAACGAAAAAAAAACTTACCTTCAGATAGAGTCACGACCGCCTTTGGCGGATGTTTCATATTGACCAACGGCTTTTTGTAGTGCTGCTCAAATTGCACATTAGCCTGTACCATGGCAAGTCTCTCAACCTCGTCGTCATCGATTTCTTGATCCTCTTCCTCAGCGCGTTCTTCTATTTTTTGCTGCGCGTCTTGAAGAAATGTGTCGAACTTCGTCACGATAGCTACAACGGGAACTGCAAGAGGCATCGGTTTCAATCAAGATACTCAGTTATAAAATATACCTTGTGAGGGCATTGAAAAGAAATCCTTTTCCGCTTGTTGAATCGGCCGCGAGTTCATCTCCATGCAATACCTGCAGTGTATTAAGTTGTGACTGAATGTAATTTGGGGAGAAAAAACGACAAACCACACCAAATGCAATCGCTGATTTATATCTCTCTCTTTGGATCTTATATCGATGAACTTCCTGACGACGTCGACTTCGTTTTGTTTCCCCGCTTCAAAGCCCTCAGAATCGTGAGCAACAATTTTGCTGTTCCCCTCGAATTCAATTTCCTTCTCAATGTCGTGAAGACCTCTCTGAACGATATCATTTCATGCCGGATCTGATTGAGGCTTACTCTGCTTACCGTGATACTAGGACGGTCCACCTTGGAAAGAAAAGAAAAAAATCAGCTGAGCTTGATAGAGTTCGCGTTAACCCTTACCATATTTCCACCGCACACCTAGAATAAATTCATTATTTATCTGGGGCTCGTGATTTGACTCAAGTATTCACCTTGCTCAGAATCGTGGTTTTACCACATCCTGTCTTCCCGATGATCAACAATCTAAACTTTTTAAGCGGCTGAGGAGCAGCAGATGTAGCCGCAAGTAATAATTTCTTCAACTCTTGCTCTTCGACGTCATCTAGCTGAGGAGCTGATTCGGATTCCACGTTTGCCATTTCCCCACCTTCAAGTGGGGCCCTCAGTAGTACTTTGAATGGTTTGAAACCTTTCGAAGGTTTGCGTAAGGGTTTTGGGCGAGGGCGAAGTGCCTCGCGTGTTGCATGTTGAAAAACAAGAGAGACACCTTCTCCAGTCCTTGCAGAGCATTCAACATAATGTTTCGCTTGTATCTTCCTCGAAACTTCCATTCCCTGACATGAATTGATTATATTGTCAGCAGATAAGAATAACCCCCACCTCATCAAACGTAACGGGACGCTGGTGAGTTCTTTGAAGCTCCTTAATAGTGTGTGAGTTCAACCTTGATGCCTACCAGAATGACAGGAATTCTTGGGCAGAAGTGCATCACCTCAGAAATCCACTGGCGGCGACGTCAATAGTCTCAGCGAAGACACGAGAAACAGTGCATTGCTCACCTTCTCTTGAACGTTATCCAGAGAATCAGGACCGTCAATGGCAAAACATATAAGAACGACATGCGCGTCGGGGTAACTTAGAGGACGGAGGCGATCATAGTCCTCTGTGCTACTTGTATCCCAGATGGCGAGTTCCACATGTTTCCCGTCCACCTCGACGTCGGCGACGTAATTGTCAAAGATGGTTCCCTGTGGTGACTATCAATAACGCTAAATTAATAAATTTCCATTCCTCGTATAGACAATATGCATACCTGCTGTACCACACCAGTGGAAAATAAAAGCGCCAGGGATGTCTGCATAGTAAGATTCAAGCACAGTTCAAATCTACTGTTGACTGATAGTACTAGGCGCAGCTACTTGAACCCACCTTGCCACAACATCCATCGCCGACCATGACCAGCTTTCGCCGAATCTCGCTCATTACTTGATCCCGCTCGTGTAGTTGCAATTCGGATCGCTTGTACGGCTGCTTCGGAAGCCACGCAGAAGGCAAGTACTTATGCTATTTGTCTGTGTTTACAATACTTGAGCTCATTAATTGGTGTTGTTTGCCAGCACGCTCCTTCAGCCCATCGCCGACGAATGGGAGAACATGCGACACCTTTTTCAATCGCTTTCCGCCAATCACAAGGTTGTGTCTTACTAGTAGCAGACTCGAGTATGCGAGAATTCTCGATTTTCTTGGGCCTTAAGTCGACTTCCATGCTTGACGCAGCTGCGGCTTCTCCGATGTTCAAATGCCGTGCCTCAAGTTCTTGCTACAGTCAATCTGATTTGGCGATGAGCACAACTTTGATGATGCCTGCCACTCAATCCCATATTCTATCTCTGAGATCAATCGTCGACAAGCGCGCGGACTGTGTCTTATTTTACAAGGCATATACGTGAAGCCCAGTCTACTCAAATTCCTACCTCCCTCAATCATACTAGGAGCGGAGCGTAGAGATACATGCAACTGATGTCGGTCATCCTTCAATTTGCAGGCATTCAGGCAATGGTTTTCCCTCTTACCTTCAAGTCTGGAATATGTCACTTTGGGCTTCTGCCAGCCAGGTAGAAGGTTAGACTTATCGGTCGAGGAGAGGCGTGTCAATAATTTCTTCTGAAAAGGTTGATTTGGGTGTGTTGCGAAATATATGTAGTACCTGGTTTCAAGGCAAGGGTCAGAATTTGTATTTGGTGATTTATTGACCTTTCCCGCAGAATTTCCAGCCTGCGTCGAGGAAATCGAATAGGATAGCCAGTAAATTATTGATTCATCGCCGTCCTTTACAGCTGCACTGCACCGTAGCGACAACCGAGATGTTTGTTTTGAAGATTCAATTCATTTTGTGTTTCTCCGTGCGTCCTGAGCTGGAATGGCCGAGTCGTTAAGGCGAGTGATTTGAATACATCAATGGGTGACTTCCCGTAACACAAATTCGCTAGATTTAAATAAATCGACGAGATCTAGGGTCTTTTGCCGGGATGCCGAGTCTTGTAAGGGTTCAACTTTGATGGAGGCCCTGGTTGGCACCCAGTTATAAACCTTAATCTATTCAGAGGGTACAGACCCCTCGAATAGATTTCAAACGCTGGAATCAACCCTGCCATCATGACACCTTTCCTTCCTGGGTGCGTTTTCTTCCCACCTAGCTTAGTCAGCTCTACCTCATCCCCCCCTACTCTCCTGCAGCTGAGGGCAGTCCGCTCTCTCGTTATAATTTGAAGCAATTATGGAGTTAATTAGCAGTGCCAACATCCTATGGCTCCAAAATTTCCTCTTCGAAGCTGTTTTTCTTCCACAAACAATCCTCTCAGCACATAACACACAGAACCATAGCATTATTCAGCTCAACTTGACTTTTTCTCGGCTTCATTCATTGTGTGTCCTACTTTCTGGCTGATATGATTGAGGATCAACTATAATACACCCATCCATGGACCTGTGTGCCCTCAAAATAACTCAGATGAGAGGGAAGTAAGTTTATTCAAGTCAAGTGAATAAATCTAATCAGTTGGCGTTACGGTTTATTTGCTTGATTAAATCGCAAGCCAGGGTTCCCATTTCAAACTCCGATAAGGGTCAGATTTATTCATTTATATAAATTTATGTTACGGGAAGTCACCCAATCTTATTAAGAATTATCACTTGGTGTTTCACCGCGTAGGTTCAAATCCTGCTTCCAGCGAAGTTTTTGTCCCTGTTCTGTGTTTTTTTTTTGTTGTCTAGACGAACTCAGGCGGGATGCAGCTCACGCAGAGCGTGTCCAACCACGCAGTAAGGGTGTTCTTTTCATTAATTTCCCCGCTACATAGGACGTAACCATGCCTATTTGTCTCCGGAATGAAAACTGATCATGAGTCTATCCTGAAAACATCCACAACACGCCTCCCGTCCTGTCTCCACATCCTTCGATCGGAACACCTGAGTGGGGAGCGTCGAAGCCTAGTCGGGTGGTGGTGGTGCGGGGGAAGCGAAAAGAAGAGAAAGATTGACGCCATTTTATCCCTTATCATCTTGACAATCATTTGTGGGATCAGAACTCCAGCATCACGAGTCCGCGTTACGGAATCAGCGTCAGGTTGGTCTGGGGACGAGTGTTGGACGCGAACACTGGCAGGACAATCGAGTGGAGAAAGGGATTTTTCTGGAAGATATGGTACTCGTGGTCAGGGATTATGTCGGGAGATAGTATTCTTGCGAGATAAGAAAAGGAATGAATGCACTCAGGGTTGATCTCGGCCCACACATGACATCCAAAAAAGGAATGAACCCATGCGTGCGGCGAACGCCGATGTCTTATAGACTTGCCAAGCCAGCTCGTTTTGTTGCTGACCACGTCGCTGTTTCTACCCCTTCCGTCGTCGCCATCGTCCACCTCCCTCCTCGACGTCCCCTCCGTCGAGTGACTCTGGAGCCATGATGCTCCTCCGTCTTCCGTCAAACATGCACATGCCCGTGACCATATCCCAAGTCGACCTGACCCTCTCCACACTCCCCTCAGCATCTTCGACTCTCTTGTCGTTGCTCGCCTCCCTCGTCTTGCTCGCCTTCATCCGCGCTGCTTTTCTGTTCATGCGCTCCCAACCGTCGCCCTTAAAGCCAGGTCCTGGACCGCAAGAAGATCAAAAATTGCGTTCTCGACCTCAATCGTCATTTGGGTGGGGCCTCATCACATGGGATAGTCTGCCAGCGCCGCCGCTGTCTCTTGCCGCTGCAAGCGCCTTAATAATAGGGAACGGTGTAGGAATGGGTGTGGGTGTCGCAACTGGTAAATCATCTTGGCAGCACCAAAATCGTGTGCCTGGGCCGACGTTTGAGCACCCCAGTACGTCCTCTATTCCCAGGGTCCCCATCTTGTTGAATTCATGCCTTTTGCTTATCAGCGCCGGGGCTGTATCAAACGGATGTCCCTGTATCGATGGCTAAGATGATCATGTCCAGACATGTATGTTCCGCCCCCCTATCGAGGCTATATGTGCTTTGACCGTCCTTTACATAGACTTTCCGAAAACCAACGCAAAGACCACCATCTAGACCGGCGACACCCCAGATCCAGGTATCGCGCCGCCCGCCATCGATGGTCTAGATTCTAGAGCCCCACCAACCATCGATTTTGTTTTTTTTATTCTTTCGATGTTTCTTATTTTGGCATGGTTCTGCACGGACATGTTTTTGGGTTCTGCATGGACATGTTTTTATCATTATTGCCCCTCGGTGTCGTACTACCCGCACCATCCACGCCCTCCCCGCGCTACCCCCCCTTACCTCTCTTGGAAAGAAGCAAAGAACCGCGTTGCTCAATCAAATCAAACAAACGTCTACATCTCTCACCAATCAAACCACGAAAAGCTCATCCCGCATGCTCACGCCGCAATGATATGCACGATTCATGAATCATGTTATATGACCACTGTGGACCCCCCACGTCCCGCCCATGCTGCTCAACCCCGCCCATGACCTCGGACCCCTCGCCCCTGTCCCAGGTCATGGCCCTTGTTCCGACCCAGAATATTCTTGCAAGTCAAGCGAAGGCCGGTCAAGCTCTTTCATCTATCAGGAGTGTCCCCTCCCCGGACCCTTCTTATCTATCTTCAGCTCTTTGTTGCACTTGTTGACAAACGGAACTTTTCTTCGTTAACCTTGTGTTCAGGACCATTCTTCTTTTCTTTTCTTTATCTCTCTTTTTTTCTCTCTTTCTTTCTTATGGGTTCATTTATTTAAGTAACTCCATTCCCCCCTTAATGCTTTTAATATCCTCGGATTTTCTTTTCTTTTTTTTACTTGCCTGCCTGCGTTTCTGCTTACATACTTGTTGCTTTGTCGGGTGCACCGATTCTAGTGAACTTGAAGTTTGGGTTGCTGTGTATACGTTTGGTTGAACTAGAAAATATAATGGCGTTTCAATCATGATCTAACGAGGGCGATTGTAACTTGAGATTGAGCACCGTTATCCTTTGTGCACCGCTTTCCCTTTCGACTGAAACCGTTACGCTGAAGACAATGAACACCGACAAAGGGCTCTGCACATAACCCGCGCCGATCATGATCAATCAAATTTCAAACACCATCTCTTTTCCTTTGTCTACTTTTGTCTGTCTTGAATGCTCCACGTTCCTCACCACCTTCCCTTTGAACGAACGGCTGACGCCAACGAATCGATAGATAGTGACACCTACAAAGGCTCCATCAACCGCAAAGTCATGCGCACTGCACCTGATCACCAGCAAATGCCACCTTGCTTTGTCCTTAGATGTATAAAAACCGAACGGTGTTTCCAAACTCCCTCCATTCATTCCATCCTCCCAATCCCCGAGCCACTCATTTGTGATCTCTACTTTCAAATTTGATCAAATTTCAAAACAATGCCACCGAACACCAGCGCCCATCGCCATCAGCAGGCTATGCCGTTGCCGTCGCAAAACGTCTTCCAGGCCCAAACTGCCGGTGTGCTGCCTCCTCCAATGGACAGGACTACGAACGCATGGAGCGCTATCGATAATACTAGCCGACCCCTGCCGGTTCGCGGGCCCACTGTCAATCCTCTGTCTGGCCCCCGCAACGATAATATTTGCACGCTCTTGTTCTCGACTCGGGGAGATTTCGTCGGACTTGTACGGCCACCACCTGCGCGCGTCGCGGTTCCGCCGCGGTATTGTGCAACGCCACTGAGGACCAGCTTTAGCTATCGGACTGCTTTTTATCCGACGACTAGGGGGATTATGACCGCTGAGACTCAGAGGCAGGTACACTGGAACCCGGATGCGGACTACTATCAAGGTATGTATACGCGCCCTCCGGTTGTTCAAGTGGTTCGGCCTCAGAGTCATTATCGCTTGCATGCGGCCTCTGGAGTTCCTGTTAGGCGTCTTGTTCCTGCGGCTTCTCAGAACTATGCTGGAGGGCCCCAGTCGTTCAATGTATGTTCCGAGCAGTATGTCCTGCCTAGCTCTGGGTTTCCGCTGGTGTCAAGCTATGAGAACTGCTACGCGGTCCCTGGTAGTCCAGTTCTCTCTGATTTAGGCGTGGACTCTGCTGATACTCCTATTTCTCTGGATGTCGATTGGGCTATTATTCATCGCAAGGTCTTCGACACTGTCAATGCTTTAGAGTGGTCTGGGCCTGTCGCTATTGCTAACACGCTTCTAACTGCGTCATTTGAGAGTACTGATGCACTTATGTTTCATGCAGTCGTGATTCTATTGGTTATCAAACAGCTTAAAGCCCGGCGTAGCCTTCTGGTAAAGTCTTTCATAGACCGTTTGGGGAGTTTTGCCATGGCTCAATTTTGGCATCTTTGGAGAGACGTGCGTTGTTTTTTTATTCCTTGCGTTTTCAAATGCTTATTTTAATTTCATGATGTACAGGGGACCTGGTTGAATCTCAGCGAACCACTATTTATCGAAGACTTTCCCGCTCGTTTCAAACTTGGCCTCGGCGTGGCAAGAGCTATTGGTTGTCTATTTCGTATTGGGATTATCCACGGAAGCGAAGTTATCAAGTGCCTGGACTTCCTACTAGACTCTGAGGATTCTATTCACCGATTGTCGGCAATTCATGCGATCGTCAGTATGGCTGGCGTCAAATTTTGCAGTCCGAAATATACACACGAAGGTGTCGTAGATATTTATCGGGACCTTGGGTCGATTTACATCGAAAGTGGGATTTACAATAAATATGGGGCTTACGCTGAAAGTGGGGCTTACGTTTGGGCTCCTGAGGGTCCTTCCAGTCCTTCGTATACGCTCCTCATGGTAAGTCCTTTGTGCTAGTGATGACTTCGTGATTCTCATTGAGTACTGCTTTAGGAAATTATGGACACACTCGACCGGTGGTTTGAAATCCAACATATGAAGCGACGTTTGAAAGAAGGCGGCATTGCAACTCATGACGCTTTCTTGCCCGCTTAGGTTTAGATCTAGGGATCTCGAGGACTCCGTACCGCATGGTAGTCAAATTATTATTATCGTATGCGATCTGTTATCTTATCTTATCTCGCGATACACGTGTCTAGCTTATAGATAGATGGCGTTATTCTGTTATTCTGCTTCTTGTCTCCTCTCCTCAACTGGCCTTGCGTTATGGAGGGTAATATCAGCACCAGCACATCCACCGTTCGCTCCTTGCACCAGAATATATCAGAGATCAACACCTGTCTGACAGCGAACAACGGCTCGGTGCCATCATCGCCGAGGTCGAGCACGCTGCCTTCACCGCCGGACAGTCCTTCCTCGGACGTCTCGTCGCTGCCTTCTGTTTCGTCTTCTTTCTTCTTCAGTTCATCTGCCGCGAGCCCGAGATATTCACGTCCGCACTCAGATCATGGAAGGGATACTACTGAAGCGCTCATCATTCCATCCTTGACCATGCCTCCTGCGCTTTGTCGGCCGACGCCTTACGGGCAAACTTTGGGCGAGTTGAGATTGTTAGTACTTGGCAGTCAGGGAGCAGGGAAGAGCTTTTTGACGGGCCTGCTGCTTGAGGACAACGAGGATGTTGTGGAAGTGGGGACATGGGAGGATGCAGAGTATGGCAAGGTTCTTCGCGCCTCCACTGATTGGATCGAACATAAAGATAATCATGGCCTCGAGAAGTTCGAGCCTACTCGAAACGTGGAGATCGTGGAATTGCCTGGGTACAATTATCATAATGATGTGCGTGCTTCCTGCCTCGTGTGATACCCCTGCTCTTGATAAAGCTAACGTGGATTATGATGACAGGGACACGAACTGATCACGAATATAAAGACTATCATACATTCACCATTTAATGCTGTATCGGATGTCTTGCATCCGAACCAGCAACCTTCTGCCGTAGTCGCCAACCTAATATCATCCGCATCCACGCCGTTGTACACCGCCCTCGTCTTTCTGCTAACATCTGGTGAGCGCAATTGATATGATGTTACTCTTGCTGCGCTCCGTTATTGATCCATCCATGACAGCTCCAACAATACTTGATCAACTAATTATAGATAATCTGGGAAACGAAATACCTATCATAGTTCTCCCGCGTCTCCGGGATTCGGGCTCTGCCAAATTGTCATCCTTCCGACCTGCAAACGCTGTCGCGCTTCGGGCGGGTCTCTTTCATTCTCCGGAGACGCTCACACTACTGCGCACGGAGGCAGCCGATCGCTTTCTACGATGGCGCGAGGTGGAGCGCTCAGTTGACCATGTCCACCAAGCGCAAAGAGAGCGTGATGTACACAGAGAAAAGCAAAGATGGGATAAAGCCAAGTGGGAATCGGAATGGATGGTTACACTCTCGCAGGATGTTTCGAAACGTGTGCGAGAGGGAACCATCACTGAGCGAGACGTTAAACGACCTCAGCCACAGCTCGCAGAGCGCTCGGTCTCGTCCAGTCGCCCGTACGCCAACTCGCCTCCTTTTGACCCTCTTCACCTCCCGTCACTTTTGATGTTTTCTGTCTCCTTGCTTGATCCACTGCGGAGCAGGATTGAGAGTACCTTTTCAGAGTTTTGGGACGCCCTGGGGGAGTTCCACGTTCGGTTTGCTTTGATTGGCGGATTCTGTGTTGGCGTTGGTGTTGGGTTTTTTGTTCGGTGACTTGTTAGTATTTTTCTTTCTATCTACTGTATCATTTGACTCCTGTACTTACCCTGTTCTTTTTACGAACTGTATCGCTGATTTTGTAATTTCTGTAGGGGTATGTGCCAACCAGACTGCCCAGCTTGGTTCTCTTGTTCCAGTCAAGTCTGGAACGGCGCGTCGGGAGTGCTCAGATGTCAGGTAGGAGCAATTGCCAAGTAGATCCGATTTTTTCTCTCCAAGAGTCATGGAGGGCGCTTAAAGAGTCAGGGACTTATACTCGCTTGGAGTTCCCGGCACTCCGCGTTTTTTTGAAACACTAGCGACACGATTGTTGTTTTGAAATAAAAGCCTTTCGAGGTTAAAAAAAAAAGCGTTGGATGGTGCTTGATATCAACTGGTATTATTCTAGGGTATTGATGGTGGAAGAAAATTTATCTGGATGTCGCCACAACATGAGTGAACTTTAATAATTAAACGTGCGTGCCATTGGACGATCCTGTACCAAAACTTTGGGTGATTCATTTTTTAGTCTGAGAAAAGCTCGCAGTGGCGGCTGTTCCAAGCGGGAGGCAACATATTCGCTCAAATTTGCCGGCATTCGGGATCGTGATCCGCTGGAAAGGCGGTCACGCCCAAGTCACACCGTTCACTTCTTCTCCACAACTCACAACTTTGGACAGGCAAGCAGGGACAGCCTGGCATTGCGTCAAACTCACGGCTATCGTACAACTGTTTCCTCGCTGTTTCGAATTCGGTGCCAATTTGACTGGAGAGTGGGAATCCCTGCTACGATTGCGGTTGGATAGCGGTCAACCGTCAAACGAATTTACTGGCAGTGCAGCCTCCACTAGCAGCGTAGTCTTCCGGGGTAAGTGCGCCGCAACTAGCTGCCGCATATGGCTAATTAAATAATGTTGATAAAGACAAGCAATGGAATCAGCGTCATGGCAGGTCGACGACGGCAAGTAGTAAATGCTACGTTGACCGCCTTTTTCTTGTCTCGAGCCGAATACCACGAGGACGATCGACATTGCAGAGAAGTTCTCGATTATGTGAACGACTACTAGATGTACGAACCCAGATCTCGTCAAGACACCATTTTCTTTTCCTGGGCAATGATACCTCAATTTGCGATAGGGTCTCACTAGGCGCTACTTAGCTGAGTCTTGATTTCTCATGGGAACTTGACGTAGAACTGTCTGTAGGTACCTCATTGGTGTACCTCAGAGCTCGCTGATAGTGTTTTCTAGTTTCTGGTGGGGCCCTGAATCCACCCGGTCTGGTGCGATTTGCCGGCATTCCTTTTAGCGCCTTACATTTTCCCCTCGACGTTGACAGTGACTTGCATTCATTGCGTACTGTCTTTCTTTGACGTGGTCTGACTTGGAAGCGGCCAGCCTGTGTTATCCTCTACACTACTCATTGCACGGAGCCTAGCTATGGCATAAAGGTTCGTGAGTTTTGGTCTAACACGTCGCACCTGACGATTCCTTTTCCATCTCGCTTCAGCGTTTAGGCCGGCAATGAATGACTTGTGCTTCTGGGCTTCTGGGATGGAAGCTGGTGTGTACAGCCTCGATCGCGCAAGTCGCTTTAGTGAGATCAATCATTCAAATGGCCAATCTTATCTGGCGTCTCCTGGCAGGTCTTTCCCTTGATTTGATCGATTTGGCCCGTCCCTGGGACGAAACCATTCTGTCGTCATGTTCTTGACAGGAACACATGGGAATACTTGAGGTACGAAGCTAAGCTGGTCTCTATTCTTTGCTCAGTAATTCGTTGTGAGTGGTAGTAGTTTTTTTAACCTCTCTATAGCGTCTTTCGCTGAATCACCCTACAGGAAGTAACTTATTGGATGAGGGGGGCAACGTTGCATTGGCCACGCAAAGAATATTGGTTCAGTCGATCACGATCGTCTGATCGACCATGATGTCGGCATGCGATAAATCGATGCTCGCCTTCACACCTTGCGAAAACGTTATCTAGCGCCTGGACGTCACTGTTTCTAACGATGAACACTTATAGCTTTACGGGATATGTAGCCTTCTAACCATTCGTGTTTCTTTCCAATCTCTCCAGGTCAGGTACTTGAAACTCAGATAAGTGTCCCTCGTTGTTATGCAATCTCTATGTAACCACTCGTGTAACAGTGTTAGCCCGTATTGGCTGCTTGGGCGCACGTTAGATGGAGAGTAGTAGCACTATGAGAATTGCGGCGGGCCCGACCTCATTGCGCAGTTGGAAGATCGTCCCAACAAACGTACACGCTTACGCCCTTGTTTCTTCGATTTTGCTGCAAGACTATATCTTTGTGGAAAGCACTTGCCAACCATGCTTTAGTGTTCATGTCCTTCGTGCAATGCCTCCTCGGCTATCACTGTGGGTTTCCGTCTTTTCTACGCTGTCGCAAGATCGTTTTTTCCTATGGAAAGGGCTTTCATAACGCCCAGCGATATCCCACCACTCTTCCTTTGATTGGGTTCGTTATCTCGTGGCCAAACGTAAAGGTTCTGTATAATCGCTTTCTCTGTCGAAATATGGAGCATCAGGGAACACTAACTTACTAACCCCGCACCAACATTCAAAGTGAGTTACCGTCCGCCGCCGCTGTCGTGTAGGCATATTTGCTTGTACCTGATCAGTATTCGGCGTTCCTCTGTTAACATAAGTGATAACACGCATACCCAACTCGAAAGAGGTTTAAATCAGCTTATAGACTGAGAGAATACGAATATTCGCGATGCTTATTTCTATTCAGACACTAGAAGGTAGTAATGATTACATATTCTATTATACAAGGCCAGCTATGTGAAAGAACGAACGAACGCTGAAGTATGTACATACAGCTAACGATAATAAAAAGTTAATAAGGTATTCAACCGTTGTTTGAATGGACACAGAAAGTGCAACGAAGGAGCGGGAAAGTCACAGGGTGCCTGACTGTGTCCTGCCTAGTTAGTAGATACATTAAGGATAGGCCTGCTTGAATTATACATTTGGTCCGAACAAACCTCAGAGCGCATAGGGTGGCAGGGACGCCATAAGCGATGAGAAATCCAGGTCGGGTATAGCATCAGCCTTGCCCTGACCCTGATGGTATGAATGAAATCCAGAAGGAGCGGTAGGAAAACTTTCGCTGCCGACGAAATGGTCCGAACAGTCCGGGTATGAAGGAAACTGTGGCAGCCCATCGTCCCTAGAATAATGGGGCGTGGCGGAGTCTACAATATTGTATCCATGATAGCCATCAGGGGATGGGCTGTCGATGTAAGGAGGGGTGGTAGGCATGCTACCCGACGACGCAGATAAGGGTGAATCGCACCGGGTCCATGTATTGACGTCTGGCGTAAACGTGGCGTCGATCGAGAGTCGAGGCGGCTGAGCTTCGGCGTCTGCGAATTCAGCGTGTAGGCCTCCTTGAGGATGAACCGCAGGTGATAGCGAGTCACAGGGAAAGAGGGGTAGCGAGGGGTCGAAAGGGAATGTCTCAAAGTCCTGAATAAAAAAATTAGAAATGAAGTGGACGGAGAACGCGGAAGACCTACAAATGAAGGTTCTTGTTTCAAAGGGAACGGGTACTGGTCAAACGAAGGTATGGTGTATAATGAATCGGAAACATCATCCCGCTCTAACTGGAGCGAAAGGGGGTAGGAAGACGGCGAGAAACGAGAAGGCGAAGACTGTCGCATAACTTGTGAACTCGACGACCGGCGACGACGTGAGCGACCCGCGGACGTCTCTGGCTTGGAACCGGAAGAAGGTCGTCGGTTATACGATTGAGAGGTAATGGGGGTCTCGAAACGAGTAACAATTTCGGGAACGTGATATTTGTCAAATTCCTGAATCGCAGCGTCGAGGTCTTGACCCTTCTTGCCCTTAACCAATAATTCCGCAATTTTCTCGCATCTTTTGTGGTCCTTCGGTCCCACCTCCCTAACCTTACGCTTCTCCCCGCCTTTGTTCTTGTTATGCAAAGGTCGGAACGCGTATTGAGGGAATTTCCGCTTGTGCTCGTCGAGGGCAAGCTTCGCTTTCGCGTGCCAAACTTGACGTTCTTCGTTCGGTAAATTTTGCCAAGTGAGACCAATAATTTTCGAGAGCGTGCTGTGGTTCGTCTCGACCTCTGTAGAGACGTGCTGGCTCTTGATGAACGAAGAACGGAACAAAATGAACGCGTTGGGGGGGCGAGGGATGTGATTTTCGGGCTTCTTCTTGCTGTGAGCTTGTCTCCGAGGGGCCGGGTATCCAGGAGGCTGGGGAGGGAACAGGAGAGACTCGCAAGGTGAGTCGTCAATCACTTGAGGGAGAGGATCATTGAAGGTCCCTGGCGTAACGTTGGTTGTGAACGCTATACTACTGCCGCTCACAGGAGGCGCGGGCGCTGTCCACAGCGAGTGCTCTGTAAAACGACTGGGCTCAGTAAAAATTGACTTCAAGTAAAGGAAAAACCGACCCTCAAATTCGTTACCACTGAGCCTGGAAGTTCTTGTCCTGGCGGCAGGCATCCTTAATGAGCGCGTTGGGTTCGATAATAACGACGCCGATATGGTGCCCACACAAGATCGCAAGAAGAAATACACGAGGCAACTTCCACCCCACTCTTATACATTGTATTGGACAAGGGTCGCGGTACACTTTTGAAGGGTCGCTGGAGGTCCTGGAATTTGTTGAGGGGTAAGTGCGTACGTGACGGTACACAATACTTGCTTTATCTGGATGATCAGCGTGACGGACCGAAAATAGAAATCTGGAACCACCACGTTTGCAAAACCCTTCATCTTCAATTTATCTAAATCAGCCTCTCTCCCATCCGTTCCCGCCGTCCTCAGCTTGACGTCGACCAGGAAATGGCCCATGCTAGCTTTGTCGCAGCCACTTTACTCACGCAAATGTCTCAGAAGTTAGCTCTTGATAGTAAGCAAAAGAAGAGTTGAGGATACACCAGCCCTCATCTCTGTATGGTCTAGTGAGTTTTCAGTTGACCTTTTTGTGACAAGCCGCCATTCAGCGCTTGCTCAGCGCCCTGATCGAGATGTGGCGGAGGTGAATCTCGTCGATCTCAAGATCTTATTACGATATGAGTATGGCTCAAGCTCGTCATCTCAGCCATATCTCTCAGCCAGCCTAGCTTTCAAGAAGGGCTGAAGACGTTCTTGACACTCTCAAGGGTGAAGTATGTGCAGTCTCCCCTTATGGAGTTTATACTGGAGAACGATCAACTTTACGACCCAAAGTGATTTGCAATTCTGCATTGGCCACCAAGTTAGTTCGTTGCGATGAGGTGAACTTACCCGTGCGGCGCACGGCTCTCAATCCGTCGGTACAGCACTTTCCGGCAGCCAAACGTCAAACTGCCAGGCAACGCCTCAAAAAACAACGACTCCCATTCCTACGCATCACTGGTAACCACCTCTTCCGCTCCACTAAGTAGCCTACGTATTTGGAAGACTCAAGAGGCCGCAGGCTCCGACCGATCATGCATTGCTTCAATCATACAATAAGCGTGGGCTGTCCTTCTCAAATCTAGGCGATCTTGTTTCTTTGTTGACGCCCAGTTCCAGGCGGGGGCACGTGATGTCCTCTCACTCTTGCATATGCTTAGGCCGGATCACACCTCACAACTCTCCGACTCCTTTGTCCAACACAGGCTATCCTTGTGAGCAGAATATAACATTATTCAGTTCAATGCTAGGCCAATATTGAACCTTCCCAGTTTATCACAGAGCAACGCAAACAATGTATCTATTCCAAGAGACCTTGTTCAGTTTCTAGCAATGATACCTATCAGTGTTTGTATCCACCGCCTTTCGTCGCGTTTCAAATTTGCATCATTCGACCATCCCCGCGATTGAATCGTTGATATGTAGCGCTGAATTTTTTTTCTTTCATAATCGTGATCGCCATTTAACTGAATTTGTGCAGCTCGACACTGTAATCACACTGCAGGGAATTTCAATGCGATCGAGTAGTCATGATTTACAAAATTACCTGCCACCCAGCTTTCGGACTTCAGAGAAGAAAGGTTCCGAGAAACGAAAATACCCCAAAAATCTGGTCTGTTGATAACAAATCAGAATTGCAGCTATCTCCCACAATACCCGAAAGAGTCTTCCTGAATCCTGATAGATCGATTTTGGCCATGCATTCAAAATTGAAACACACGGCGTCAGGGACTAAATTTTAACGTCCGCGAGCCCGGCTATAGATTGGATTACTCCCACCGAGGACGGAATAACCAGAAAAGAGTTGCCTCGACGCAGGCTGCTAAAAATCAATGTTGCTCTCGTATTTTCACCGTGGCGAGTTATCTTGGAGTCATCAATGAGCTATTCCGATCCGTTCCGTATGTTGTCTTGTGTAGAGCTTTCATTAATTAAGCCGACGTTTTGGTGCATTCAATCTGCCCTTCAGTTATTGGATAAGATCGCGGGCATCTCGAACTCTTCCCATCATCTGGGCTAGCTCGGCGTCTAGTCTACGTTGCGGCTCCAGGGCTCTGAGAAATTACTACCTGTCCAATCGGGCGACGGGGCTTTGGCGGGAATAAATGTTGGCCGTCTAAAGCAGTTCTACTGAGTCTAATGAAAGCGGTCGGTGCAACGGCAAATGCGCGTATGACTCGAGATGATTCGTCCCCGCCTCTCAAGGGTTATTGCGATTTGATTGATCGACGGCGAGCGTTGCACTAAGATGCCGCTACTTCGGAAATGAAAAGAATTTTACCCCCCCGGATAACAACTGAATAATAATCCGACATTGCGTCTCAAACACAGGAAACACAAGGGAAATGTTCTCGGGGATCGACATCATAATTTTGACAACCCGTCGCCCTGGCGGCCTTGAAAGAAGGAATGAACTGCTGTGCAGTGCAACTTTAATTTACGTGGACCCGCAGCATCAGCCATTTATCATACTTTGTAAGACCTCAAGTCCGACAGGCGACATTGACGGCCGCCCTCCAACGTCTCTTGAGTGTTTTGACCTAGGTGGCCTTCTGGCAATTGAACAGTAGGTAATTTTTTGACGCTTGGGATAAACGGGAAAGAGTCATAACCGACTTGACCAAAACGCAACAGCGTGAGGGGTTTTTTTTAAAAAAAACGCCCGGCGAACAACGCAGATCAGAAGTCGTCCCAAGCGAAATACACAGCGCCTGCGCGGCTGCAAGAATCACAGGCAGTCCGGTTTGCCAGACCAGCCTAGCGCCACCTGCAAAAGCCATCCAGAGAACGAGGAATAAGCAATTATGGAAGTATCGAGAACCATCCCGACGACGAGATGGAGATCACGGAGAGCCATCGCTGTGGTGGACGAATCACTACCCCGGTGGTTGATTTATTGATGGCCTCCATAAGATTCCACAATTTTATAAAATCATGTTACGCGGGAAGTTCTAGATCGCTGCGGGGGGAACCTATTCGTTGCCCGTATGCTCAGTTTTCATAGAAGTAAAACGCGTAGACGAGATTAAGCGATCAGTATAGGTTGTAGAGAAATTGGATGCACCCTGGACAGCGAGGATTCGGGAAGCGGACTTGTGATATTCCACAAGTAGTATGGATGCAGTCTTCAAAACAGACATACAGTAGCGTTCCGTTCTCGGTCAAGCTGGAGTGCATGAGGGATTTCGGTTGCTAGCTGGCGGGGAACATCCAGGTGCACGGCCAACATCTAGGTGCAAAACATTGTCTGAACGGACGAAAGGCAAAGAATATTGAGCAATGTTACTACCGCAGAGGCTTGCGTCATAAAATTCAAATTAATTTTGATTACGCGGTTAAAAATAGATCCCATACCTTGAAGGTGAAATTGCAGCAAGTACACTGGCATTTGGAGATGGCGAGATCAGTTCCTGAGTTTTGAAATAAAGCCAGAGTCTGTGAAGGGCCTGCGTACAGCCCCCAGCATGTGTGTCATTTGATTCGACGGCATAGACTTGAATCTTCGGCGTCACCGCAAAAACCGTACAACTGGAAGAAGAATCAGTATCATCTCCTCTGATAAACATTTCAGGCGCCACGCGACGTGTCTAGTCACCTGGCACTCATGAAGATCAACGATTCACCTCAAGCAACGATCGCTAGTTAGAAACGGTGGGCAGTGCAACGAAAAGCAAATAGGACAAGGCAAACGACATACGCGTACAAAGGCGTTCCAAATTTATTGCTCCTTCACCTTCCGGTAATTTAAACCAGTAGACGATGATGACCGAACTGAATAGGCATTTTGACCTCGAGTCATACAGAACAAACGAGTCGCCACATATGGAAACACGCTCAATGGCGTATGTCTTGTATTCCAAATCGAATAACATCGTCTCTCGCGTTAAATGACAGGTATCCAAGGATCGGGTGAACCCTGGTAGCACCCGTTGTCATTAGAGCTGGTCCTGGCCAGATTGTGAACGTCCAACTGGATCTGTACCAAGATTGAGGTGTAGATTCGATCGCGTAATTCAACGGAGGCATCCGAGTAGACGGAAGCACAGTTCTTGTTCAGGGTTTTGAGATTCATCCGTCGGACCCGTCAACCGTCGCATTCTGGCGAGTACAAGAGAGTCCTTGTTCCATTCGGTACCATAGAGGGAAACTTCAAGAGAAACAAGACCATTGAGCGCTATAAGCTCCACGGAGTAGTTGGCATGAGCCAAGCCTTCGTATCGTGTGATCTGAGAGAATCGGGTCGAAAATTGGAGGTGCCAGAGGTGTGGGTGGTAGGGTGGATCTGTAGATCCACGGCTCGCTAAAACTCCGTATCTTCAAGCTTGAGGCCACATATCTGTTCAGTTGTATCTAGGTTCCGAAGGGTATCAAGGAAGGAGGAACTGAGGCTTGTCGTTAAAGTCGGAATGAGCATGCAATGACTCGCATGGTGGAGCATGGTGGTTGGGAATTTCGAACGTACCTTGCGAAAGTAACAGAACCAAACAAGTACAGTCATCCACCCACCAATGATACGCCACCATCATTTGATAACCACTGCCATCAGGCAAGTGAGTGCGTTATGAAAAAGGTAGATCTAACTTTAAAAAAAAAAAATTTGGCCCAAAATAAATCAGGATTACATACCAATAGAAATACTCTTATATAAGGGGACGGATATTGTAAAAAGCTCAATCACAGGACATATTGTGAGGGAAGGTCATCTCCAATACACCATATTCAAGATGACAATTTTCCGTCTATAACACAATATCAGACTTCGAATGAAAAATATTACATTGGAGGACACGGGTGGCGATCCCCACAATGGAACCCTCCATTACCAATTGAGACAACAGCTCTAATGCCGGTAGGACATGCTAAACTTCAATCATGTTGTTCAAAAAAGGTCACTCTGCATCTCCCTTTTTCAAGAGGATAATCTTCTGCCAACAGCATAATGTGAAACTTTCAATAAAAAAAGTTATTATGGTGGGCACTTATGGTGATCGCCAACTTTATTAGAAGCCTAGGTAAGTAGTCTTATACTGGCGATACATGTTAATCGTCAATATGAATGCTTGGAGAAGGTAATCCACGTCTTCCATATTCACAAAGACAATTCTTCACCAACAGTATAATATCAGACTTTCGATAGAATGGATTTCCATGTATGGCATCGATAGCGACCCCCCCAATGGGATCAGTGATTATGAGCTCCGATAACCGCCATAACTCCGGTAAGAACAGCGAAGCCCTAATGACTTGTGTAATGTTGCCCAAAAAACGTCACCTGACACAAAATGGGATCCATTAGATAATTACTCTAATCCTGGTGAGACTGGTAGCTACCACTTACATCATGTACTCCTGAGCTGTACCATAGAAGTCCCTGCTTAGCTACCGTGAATGAAATGAAATGAATTTTCATTCATTCACGGCACCTGTTTCATTCTAGATAATTTATTCTGTTTCATTCATTCCTGGCGACTGTTTCATTTTTTTATTTCATTCCACCATGGCAACTGTTTCATTCCTTGCTTCATTCTTCGCAGGTGCCTATTTCATTGTTACAGCTGTGAAAATGATTATGTAATTGATACAAAATATTTAAGTGCCTTATTTGGCAACAGCATGCCTATCTTGTTGTGTATTTGAGCCTCAAATGCAAAAGTACCCCCATATGGCCTCCCACACAACTGAAGTAGGGCACAACACATATCAGGTATAATTGTATATTATTTCCTTATTTAAATGTGTATTAAAACATCGAAATTGTTGCCTGAAAGAATGAAACAAAAATGAAATAACTGCCTGGAAAGAATGAAATGAAAACTCCATGGTAATGAATGAAAAAAAAAAAAAGAAACAGTCGCCAGGAATGAATGAAACAGAAGAATAAAGCAAAAAATGAAGCAGTTGCCATGGTGGAATGAAATAAAAAAATGAAACAGTCGCCAGGAATGATTGAAACAGAATAAATTTCATTCTTGTCAGTAGAAATGAAGAAAAAAATGAAATGAAATGAAAAGTATTTCATTCTCCATGGCAATGAATTAGAATGACTTGGAATGAAACAGTTGCCATGAATGAATGAAAATTCAATTCATTTCATTCATGGTAGCTAAGCAGGAACTTCTATGGTACATGCCAGGTTTTACATGATGTAAATGGCAGCTACTAGTGCTGGTGATACATGCTAATCTTCAATATTGATGCTCGAAGAAGGTAATCCACGTCTTCCATACTCACAAAGGCAATTCTTCACCAACAGTATAATATCAGACTTTCGATAGAATGGCTTACCATGTATGGCATCAATAGCGACCTCCCCAATGGGATCAATTATTGTGAGTTCAGAGAACTGCTACAACTTCGCTAATAGCTAATGACTTCTGTAACATTTCCCAAAAAATGTCACCAGACATCTTCCATGTTCAAAATGACAATTTTCCACCATCAGAATAATATAAGACTTTCAATAAAATAGACTGTGAGGGAGGTTGATGATACCCCAAATGGCGTCCTTTATTGGAAACTCAGGATAACTACTGTAACCATGGTGGTACATGCTAATCTTAAACAATGCAAGTCATCTTCCCTAATACTGCTGGAGATAGGTCGTCTCACATGTCCCATGCCCATGCTGACAATTATACGCCAACAGAACCATCAATAAGAAAAGGTTGCAATGTATGGCGCCGACGATCAGCTTCCCGATGACATCGATAACTGCGAACCAGGATATTTGTTAGCTTCCACGGCACCGTGAGGATAGCTTCTGCCAAATCTTTATGATAGTAGTACAAAGATTGAAAGCACCATGATGAAACCTATAATAGGGTACGCAACTTTGTAAAGCCTTTCAAATCAAGCTGTAAACACCCTTATCATGAGTCATAAAGGCTACGTATCACGTCGCATGATTGGAGAATACGAAAAACATTGGCCCTAGGGGGCATCATGCGTCCAAAGCGGCTGCAGCGACTCATGCGGCTGGAATGCAGCTGAGGACGCGTCAACAAATGCTGGATGTCGTCAAGACACGGCGTCGCTTCTCCTGAATCTTGGCTAAGGCACTGTCTTTAGTAACTATGCGCTGCGCTGATGAGTAAGATGGAAACACTTGGCTTCGCACCAGTAAAGGATTTTTAGAATTTGATTGAAAACAACATGTTGGGGCGCTTACCG